GTAAAGATAGTTGGTAAAGCGATGTCACACTGAGTTAAACGTGGTGGTTGTTATGTAATAGTCTGAGTTAACTATACAATTCACTTCAGTTCAAGTTATTTAAGTAGCGCCAATTCACAACTCATGTCATCTCAAGGCAATTTACAGAGACAAGGAAGATTTATTCAAAGTGTTCTATCAGAGGAAAACCAGTTAATTGCATCGACTCATTGACTCAAAGGCAATCCCTCACACTAAGCATGCTTGTAGCGACCGTGGAGAGGAAATACTCCCTTTTAACAGGAAGAAGCCTCCAGCAGAACCAGGCTCAGGGTGAGCGGCCATCTGCTGAGGCCGACTGGGTTTCAAGGAGACAGAAGCAGAGATACAAAAAGCAGCTGTAAAAGGCGGCCCCCGTCCAGGAAACACACAGCCAGGCAGACGAGCCTCGAGCCAGCTCCCATGTCAGAGGATGAAGAGAGCACATCCAGCCAGTCACAGTCAGAGAAACAGGACTAAACTGAAAAACAGGCAGCGGTCGAACATTTATAAACAAGGTGAATGATTCAGGTTACTTCTGCACCAGGAGTGTCATATTCATGTCATATTAGTACATAAAAATCTTTGGATTTACAATGATCTGGATATAGTCATATCCCATGAGGTTAATACGAAGAAAAAAAAATGGTTGCTGTCATGGCATTGGTGAAGTACTTGACCATAGGCATTTGTAACTAAATAAATCATCTTAAGCCCAGCTGCAAATCTTAAGTGATACCCCCGTTTTGCTAATTCTGCTTTTCATACCGTGTTTGTTGGCAGCCATGTAATATAATCTTTAAATAAAACATCTGAATAAGAGCTGACACGAAGAGGACTAATAATGAGAGATGGGAGGATACAAAAAAGATCACTTAAGACAAATCCATTTTCCTCTGCTCTGACTGACATTTCATTCAGTCACAATGTATGTTGTTACCATATAACTCCCCTGGGCTCTTTGAAGTTTAAAATAATCCATTATGTCTAAAAAAAAAAATAGACAACAGTTTGTACAAGTTAACACATTCTAAATAACTATAAGGAGTTCAAACCTTCTGACCAATGAAACCATGAATTCTGCTTCATTACCAAAGGACTTCCACCTTTGAAATAGGTTTTTCACTTTAAAATGAAATGATCATTTGGAAAAAGGAATTTCGAAAATGACACTCAGCCCTCTCGGGATTTATAGATCGCACAAACACTAATAATTACGGTAGCAGTGCAAGCATTGAGCCTTTCAAAATAAAAGCAACACTATATATTGTTTTTGTTTTGAACAGAATTAGTTGTCCACCTTGCTTTTCTGTTCAAAAAAATATTGTATGCCCAAGCGAATAATTAGACATAATATTTATAATTTTATTTAAAATATGTCACTGTTTTATGTGGTTAATTTTATGTTCTTTAACTCAGAATGTCCACTTATTTTCCCTAAGTTTTCATAATAATAAAAACTAACTGTGTATTTCCAGTAAATAATTTCACTTTAGGCTGATAACAGAACACCTCCGGCTGTTTGTCAGTTAAGTCAAATTACTGCTGAGTTGGTATATCAAAATAAAAACTTTCAAGATATCTCTTTTTAGCCACTTTTGCATATTTTGGTGAGTTGGCTTCAGTTTAGCTTTCACCAACGTCTGAGGTGGAATTTCGAAATTAAAGCCTAAATGTTGATATTTTAATGAAAGTGTATTTTTCCAATGATTATGTTTTCAGTTCAGGATGACAGCAGAGCCCATTCATAACTTTCCACAGAAGTTCAATATCTGATGCAGAATTTGGGAGAAATACCTTCTAAATAACTTCTTTCTAAATGTCTTTTGCTCCTTGATTCTCTTTCACTCAATCCAACTGACTCTTCCACTCCATGTGCAGCTGCTTCAATCCTTGAGTTCCCTATGACCCAGAAGGTCAACCTAATTTCTCCATTTCCTCCAACATCAGCAACAGACTCTCCAGCATCTACCAGCAGATTGTGTGAACCTAAGAGCATATTTTTAGATTAACATCTGAAGGTATTCTGCTGTCCAGAGGTGTAGCCAGGATTTTTTTTATAAGGGTGGCCAGGCAAAAAGGAATGTACACTGAGGGTCGGTCGAAAGTAGAGAGGCACCAAAACTTCACAGTCAATCTACACTGCTCCAACAGGAAAATTAACAAGCAAAATAACATCCATATTTTTTAAATAAAAACTAGCTATACCTCCCACAGCCTTTGCTAACAAATAGATGAATATATTCCAACATCTGTAATTTCTAGATAAAAGGTACAGTGGATAAAATTCTTTCAGGTTTGAGTTTTAGGCGAACATCTTTTCCATTGTCATTACTTACCTACTTTTATCAATAATCATTCTGCATAAAATTGATATTTACAAGCACTAATATCTACATAAATTGATAATTTAATACGTTTTTATAAAAGACACCTGATTTTCTATTTAGATAAAAGTAACAAAATGTGAAAACATTCACTGGAACAACAAAGAAATGTTTTATTAACCATAAAAATAAAATAAGTGGACAACCTGAGAGGAGGAACATCACATTTACTAGAAACAAAACAGTAAAAAAAATAAAAATAAAAATCATTTATTTAAATATTCGCATTGTCATGCAAATACATTTCGAACAGAGCATTAACTAATTACATTCAAGAAACAATAAACATGTTGCTTTTATCTTGAAGGAACAAACCGGCGGTGCTACCGTAATTAATGTTGTTCACACGACCTACATAATCGCGATCGGTCTCGCTTGTCTGGTATTTTGCAAGTAGAGGCTGACTATCGTAGTCGTGATCATAATTGCTATGAAATGGTAGTTAAAAGCTATCAGCGACAAAATGCATGACGGAGTTCTCTCTGTCAAACACACAAACGGAAAAATATGTATATAATTTGTCGTGTGCGTCCTGTTCTTCTCAACGGTAGCGTGGCCGAGCGGTCTAAGGCGCTGGATTAAGGCTCCAGTCTCTTCGGGGGCGTGGGTTCGAATCCCACCGCTGCCAGTACGTTTTTTTTCAGATGGGCTACAAATAGGTGAATAAACGAGGCAACATGCGGCTCTTTACCGTGTTTAAAAATGTCCCTATATTACAAATTTAAACGTTTTACCTTACTAATTCAGCCGTATTGCATATAGATGTATTTATTCAAGGTAAATTAATTGTCAAATTAAGCTAGTTTGAGACGTTTAACAGAATCTTTATTTTTTTAAGGCACTCGCCTCAAACTAATTAAGAAACAAAACAAAATACAAGATAATTACAAAACAACATTACGTAAAAACCCAAATATCTAAATACACAAAAAAAAATCGAGAATACAAATTCATTTGACATGTTTGTGGCGTTTTGAATGTTGTAATGAAATATTGTGTTTGAGAATTCCGAGGCATGAAGGAACACCTGAACGCGACGCGGCTGGATAGCGAGGGGAAAGAAAGAAAGAGGAGAGAAAGCGAAGGGGGGCAGAGGAAGGAGCGCTAAGAAGGCCGGAAAGATTGCATGTGGATGGTCGTTTGGTGCATGGCGCGTGTTTTGAAGCTGCTTATGGAGAAATGTCTTGGGCCGTGAGTAGTGAGGAAACAGGAAGCGATTCTTGTGGGATGGAAGAGGGAAATAGTGACAATGAAGGTTGGAAGATAGCAACATCAAAAAATGAGAAAAAGCGGAAAAAACAGAGATCAGTTCAAGGGGAATCTAGTTCAGAACAATCCAGTGATGATCATTCCATACATTCCACAGCACAACAAAATGAATTCAAAGTCATATTCAAAGTCGTTAATCAGGCAGACTCTTTTACAAATTGGAATCCGGTTCACTTAACAAAAACCATCAATAAACTTGTCGGAGAAGTCAGAGGTGCCAGAATTCTGTACAGTGGAGACCTGCTAATTATCTGCAGAGACAGCGCCCAGCAAGGCAAAGCAATACGGATCAACAAAATTGACGGGATAAGAGTTCAGTGCAGCTTAATGGAGAACAAAAAGTTCAGCAGGGGAGTCATTGGAGGAGTTCCTCTAAAAATTTCTGAAAAAGAGATTCTGGAAAACATAAGAGGTGCAAAAGTAAAAGAAGTAAAACGGTTAAAAACAACAAGAAACGGAGAAAGATCTGACAGTTTATCTGTGCTAATTAAATTCGAAGAAGAGCAATTACCAAGCAAAGTATTCATCGGTTACATAAGCTATAATGTCAAAATCTACAATCCTCCACCATTGAGATGTTTCAAATGCCAAAAATTCGGTCACATTGCAGCAGTTTGTAAAGGGAAACAGAGGTGTGGAAGGTGTGCAGGAGAACATGAGTACGGAAAATGTGGAAAAGAAGCTAAAATAAAATGCTGTAATTGTGGTGGAGAACATACTGCTGCCTATCGCGGCTGTGAAGCAAGCAAAAGGTCTGAGGAAATTAAAAAAATGAAATTTGAGCTCGGAATAACCTACGCTGAAGCTGCAAAAAGGATCCCATCTCAGTCAGAAAAACCCAAACCTACAGTTCAACACACAGCAAATTCCAAACCTCTAGAGAAATCTCTAAAAATTGATGAAGACTCACTTATTGTTAAAAAGACAAATTTTGTTCTTTTCATGGTAGAAGTTATTAATTGTACTGCACAGACAACAAAAAAAACGGAAAAAATCAAAATAATAGTGAAGGCTGCAGAAAAATATCTGGACATTAAAGATTTGAACTGGGAGATGGTTGGAAGTATGATGGGAGGACCGATGGGACCATCAGAAACTGGCAGAGTTAAGATGACCTAGAGTAAATTAAAATTATATGGGCAAATGTGATTTAGTATTATGTTGGTTTAAGTTACACAGGTTTTTTTTTTTTTTTTTTTTTTTTTTTTTTTTTGGGGGGGTGAATCGTTTCCTGTTTTCTTGCTTTACTCCATATCAGTTGGTGGCGGTAATGCACAATTCACAAGTCTGCCAACCGCCATAAAATCCCATAAGAAGAAGAAGAAGGAGCGCTAATGAATTCAGAGTAGCTTTGTTGGCGCCAATACGACCGCTTACAGAAAAAAAAAAAAACAGCTTTTCAGAGATATTTCGGTCCGATTTTGGCGACCAGCTGCCGCTTTCAATTTTACCTCCAACGGTCGGCATCGTATGTGGCTAGCTTTGTTAGCACATTATCTATCATTGTCACATTTAACCTGCCCCCTTTTCTTCTTTCCTCCGGATCGGAGTTACGGTACTAATAATACTCTGAGCAGCACCGGGACAATAGAAGAGTGTTTCGCAGGCGGAGAACAATAAGACACATCTGTTTAAAAAATGGGGGTGAGTTATGTTTGTTTTGTTAAATGTTATCCCGAAATGTGAGCTCTTAGGAGAGGGATATAAAGGATGAAAGATGTTGGATGGATGGATAAAGCTAAAGCTGTTTGGCCTCATCCAGACAGCTTGGTTAGCATTGCAGCGTTAGCTCAAACACACTCTGCCTGTTTCCCCCCATTATTATCACGTCATTTCCCGTCACATTTCTGACATTTATGTGCCAAGTTGTGATGTTATTAGCCGGGCTGTTAGCCGCAAAGGCCCGAATGTGCTGTTTTAATTCGCCTGCAATTAAATAAGAAATAAAGGAAAACTATGAAGCTTTCTGGGAATGCTTGGCTTTTTAGAGGCAGCCATGCTGAACATGCTCAGCATCACTTCTGTTTGTCTCCCTAACTTTCCCTGCTGTAGCAGTAAACCCATCCACGTGTTTTCTCCGCCTCTGCCTGGTACAGAGTTAATGCTCCCTGAGCTAAAGTTGGCAGCTCTACGTGCATTCCTGCTCACGGTTGTTCCTGTGTCTGTTCAGGCCTGCAGTGGAGGACTTTTTCTACTTAAATCCTGCTTGTTTGTACTCCAGCACTTGAACGCACCGCTGCAAACTTGATTCAGCATAAATGCTTTAGAGTTGGATTTAAATTGTGTTTTTATTTTTCACTTTTAGATACGGAAATAAAAAAAGTTAACTGATTTTTAAATTGTATTTCTGTATAATATGAGAAAAGTAAGCATTCTGACTTTAATCTCAGAATTCTGACTTTTTTCTCAGAATTAATCTAAGAATTCTGACTTTTTTCTTAGAATTAATCTAAGAATTCTGACTTTTTTCTCAGAATTAATCTCAGAATTCTGATTTAAATCTCAGAATTCTGACTTTTTTCTCAGAATTCTAACTTTAATCTCCGAATTCTGAATTTAATCGCCGAATTCTGAATTTAATCTTAGAATTCTGACTTAAATCTCAGAATTAATCTCAGAATTCTGAATTTAGTCTCAGAATTAATCTCCGAATTCTGACTTTAATCTCCGAATTCTGACTTTAATCTCCGAATTCTGACTTTAATCTCCGAATTCTGACTTTAATCTCCGAATTCTGACTTTAATCTCAGAATTCTGACTTTTTTCTCAGAATTAATCTAAGAATTCTGACTTTTTTCTTAGAATTAATCTAAGAATTCTGACTTTTTTCTCAGAATTAATCTCAGAATTCTGATTTAAATCTCAGAATTCTGACTTTTTTCTCAGAATTCTAACTTTAATCTCCGAATTCTGAATTTAATCTCCGAATTCTGAATTTAATCTTAGAATTCTGACTTAAATCTCAGAATTAATCTCAGAATTCTGAATTTAGTCTCAGAATTAATCTCCGAATTCTGACTTTAATCTCCGAATTCTGACTTTAATCTCCGAATTCTGACTTTAATCTCCGAATTCTGACTTTAATCTCCGAATTCTGACTTTAATCTCCGAATTCTGACTTTAATCTCCGAATTCTGACTTAAATCTCAGAATTAATCTCAGAATTCTGAATTTAGTCTCAGAATTAATCTCAGAATTCTGATGTAAATCTCAGAATTCTGATGTAAATCTCAGAATTGTGATGTAAATCTCAGAATTCTGACTTTTTTTCTCCGAATTCTGACTTTAATCTCCGAATTCTGACTTTAATCTCCGAATTCTGACTTTAATCTCCGAATTCTGACTTTAATCTCCGAATTCTGACTTTAATCTCCGAATTCTGACTTTAATCTCTGAATTCTGACTTTTTTTTCTCCTGAATTCTGAGATCTAAGTCAGAATTCTGACTTTTTTTTTCCCATATTAAACAGAAATAATATAAAAAAAATCTGTTAACTTTTTAAAAATTTTTCAGTGGCCCTAATCCTCCTCCACTTAGATGCTTTCACAGATAAAAAAAAAAAACCCTTACAAGAGTGAAAGGGAAAAAATAAATAAATAAAAGAAACTTGTTAAGTCAAAGTCTTTTAACTTAAATGAACAGGCTCCTTTTGACTCCAGTTAGTATGGAGGACCAACTCTGCCATAATTAAAAATAAATACAGAAGTAAATAAATGCTCAGTAAATACATAAGCATACAATTAATTGCTCCCCCAAAATACTAATGATTATATAAAATTTATTTTGTACATTTAAGGTTGAATTTTTAAGCTTTATACATTGTTTTTTTCTTATTGTTGATGCATAAAAAACCTACCTCTGGACTTAAAGGATGTTTTTATCCATCTCACTTTATATATTTGTTTGAATCAGTCCTGTTTTGTTTGCTTCTTATTTAATTACGTGGCTATATTATGCTGATAATCATAAGGGGATCAAATTGTTTTTTATTGTGACAGCTAAATTTGATCTGCATGACTGAACATGTTTCTTGGTTTGATCTTCGTGGTCCGACATGTTTTTAGATGCTTAAGGCTTATACCCGTGGTTGAGGCTTATAATTGTTTTAGTGTGGCTTTCAGGCACACCGAGCGAGACAAAATGTAAGTATTTGCGTTAAAGCGTCAAGGAGTCAGATGGCAGCTAAACAATTGCATCAAATGTCCATCATGTGCTTAATCTGGTTGTTCAGCAGGATTCTTGGCTGTGATGAAATGTATCAACAAAAACAGAGACATTTAAGATTTTTGGCTACATTTTCTGGCAAATCGTGATTTTTTAAAATAATTTGAAACAAGTTTTTAAATTTTATTTTGTTATTGCTGGGGAAATTACTGCTTCTCTTCAAGCAATTGTTTTAGGATTTCTCAGGTTTAGACCATGCAAGCCAGGCTTTTAGCTAGAATTTGTGTATCACATCTTTAGGCTTTGCGTGGCTTAGGGGGATCCGGGGGTATCCTTCCCTGTAAATTTTTGAAATTTAGACTCTGAAATGCTATTTCCTGCATTTTGAAATGAAATGCAGCTAACATTTTGTCTTAGGACACTAATTTTGTCCTGATTAGGAAATATGGGAAATATGTGTGCTTGACTAGAGATGGAAATTTCATAAGGAAGAAATTAGATAATTTTTAGGTACAATATTATGTTTCACAGGTTAATTCAAACAACAAGAAGGTGTAAAGCTACATTCACACCGCACGCAATTTGAGCAGCAAAGAAGTCCCTGATGCTTAATTTTTGATGCCTCTGCAAGTGGGAAAAAAGTCATGTTAATATATTTTTATGTGGGAAAGTCAACCTAAAACATCATTTGTCGGTTCATCAAGATTACAATCCTGTCTTAAAATATTATTTTGGTGCAATGCGCTGTCACTGGGCATCCCCAGCAGCATCTGACTCTGGCCTGGTCGCCACTTGGGTTTTCCCCTACTGTTCATGGCGGCTGGAAGTAGATGTTTTTTTAGGTATTATGGTACAAACTGCAAGCACAAGAATAATAAAAACTTAACATATATTACCAGCAGGTTATGGCATTTTAAGTTAATTTAGACGTTAATAACCAGTTTCAGAGGAGTGATCATAGCGATCTGCCTCAGCGGCGCTGTCTGTCTCCCTGTCAGCTCTCAGATCAGCTTCTCTGATGGGTTAATGTGGCGTGTCGAGCAGCAAAAATTAAATTTTTCCAACTCCAGCAACTGCTGCTTGTGAAATTTTCAGCATTTTAGCGAAGTTTGTCCCTTTTTTTTTTTAAAGTAAAGGCTGTACAATATACGGCCGTACGTATTGCTTGCCAAAATCCTGATGCGAGCAAATAAATGCTGACTCGACTCATTAACGATGGTTTTAGGGATGAAGTTACAGGTTTTTGTAGAGGCATCCATACTAATCACCATGTTGTGCAAAGCTGAAAGAATACGGGCAATTTTTTCTTTTTTCTTTTTTTAACTCGTCAGTAGCACTAAACTGGAAAATAGAGCATTAATCAGGGAGTCAAGCTGCTGAAACTCTGGAGGAGCTGCAGAGAGCTGAAGCTCGGCTGGGAGAATCTGACAGGAAGGAAGCTATTCAGTTTTTACACAAAACAAATGTTATGAAAAGTATGTGTTTTAATTTAATATAGCTTCCATGTAAGTAATAGAAAAACAAAACAAAGTATGGGAAAAAAACCCAAAAATACAAAATGTTAACACTTGAATTTTGTTTTTTAATTTGGTCAAATCTAAATAAAAAAAAAAATCATTCTTGCTCTGTATTCATGTCTACACATTTATTTATTCTTAAATTAAATCTCACAAACCTGAAATTGGATTAGTTCTGTTTGTTGCTTTGATTTTACAGGGCATTCCTTGTAGTTTTTTAGTGAACCAGATTATTATTATTATTATTATTATTGTTCAAGAAAGTTACTATATTTGCTAACAAATAAATAAACAATGAATTATTGGGTACCAACTCTATAGGTACCGTTTGATAGAATAAAGAAACAATAAGTTCATACATGTTCTAACAAATAAGTATTCTAATCTTTTAAGAGGTTTTAATGCTTTTTTAACATCTGGATCGCCTCAGATTAGATTTAGACCCTTCATCTGTGTTGTGCTTAAAACCGGGAAACTGGGACAAGTCAGAGAAAGCATAAAGAGCTTTACATTTTTTAGTTTTTAAAATCTTAATAAAGGCATAAATTGCCCTCAATGTGCTTTGAAGAATCATTATTTATCGTGTCATAATACAATTTAAGTTTGATAGATATGTGTTTATAACTTTGAACGGGTTTAAATTATAACAAACCAATGGGAGGAAGCTAACCTAAACATGTTATGTAATCTTAATAAAAAAACAAACAAACGGAAGTTAAATTCTAATATATAAATAAAATCTATAGTGGTGTCGATTTTAAAATGTCCAGCAAACTGTCTTTTATAAGAAGTAGTTGTTTACCAACAACTTTTAGTTAGAATCAAAATTAGCTCTGTTGCTTTCTCGCTAAATGTCCTGTGTGGTGCAAAGCTACCACCAATTATAGTCCTGTAACACAGAGTGGTGGCAGTATTATGCTGTGGGTTTTCTTTCCTTGTTTACGGACAAAAAGCTGGTGGAAGTTGTGTTTGAGCTGAAATAGTTTGAAGGTGTGATGGACTCACCTTGCAACAGGAAAACAGTCCTAATATTAATTTATATCATACTCCACCATTGACAGATACACGCATCTGAGAGCACAGAATCCCAACCGCTAGACCACCATATCATATTTCTTGTTTTTTTCCTTTTCAGAGGAAATCCAACAAAGCAAAGGAGAAGAAAGCCCGGCGTCTGGAGGAGAGGGCAGCCATGGACGCAGTGTGTGCTAAGGTGGAAGCAGCCAATAAGGTAATTTAGCGCCAGGTTATCGTATGTGACGGCTGCCTTCACCACAGAGAGCTGTTTACCGCTTCCTTATTGCAAACAATAAGATAAAAGCCATCAGTTTGAGCTCATAGACTAAAACACCTTTCCAGGCTCTCTGATGAGACTCAATTAGATTCCACGTGGTACTAAAAGCCACTTTGCTCTTTACAGTAAAGGTCACCCTCCCACATCATGTCATAAAGAGCCACTGGTAGCATTTAATATGCCAAAAACACCATATGCCTCTTTATGCATAATTAATTGGCATCATTACCGGCCCTTAGATGTGCTGAATTTAAAGACTGTGCTAAAATGTGAAGCTGAGCTCATATGAAAACACACATGCTTTTTCCTCAACAGGCCTCTCTGGATGTATGATGACCATTTCAGACATAAATCCTGCAAACCTTTCTCCTGGTGTCTCTTTTAAATCTAAAATCTATTGACAGATGGTGGTGGGCAGAGCTGTCCGAACTCCTAGCCTTTTGTCTCTATTGAAAAATGACTACAGAATGTAGTTTTAGTTTGTTACTTCTTAAAAGAAAAGCTATATCCATCAACCCCTGGTTCGCTGAATAATGGGCTATCTTGGTTTGATGCAAGTGTTTTTTTAACCCCATAAATTGGGGAAAAAGTGAGTAAATTTAAAAGAAAAACTTCTGATAGATTTTTGTTGGGTTCGATATCTAGAACGTAGGGCTAAGAAAACTCAGATGTTGTACATACGTTATTTTAAAGATGAGATTAAGTAGTTTTTGAAAAGAGATCTAATTATAACTCATGTCCACATTTAATCTTGGTATACGTCTCCCTGGAAACTTATGCAATACAGCCCTTCAACTATAAAAAGACCACCTTTACAGCTCAAAATGAAAAAAATATATATACATTTACGTGTATATAAATCCAAAAAGTAAAGTTTGCATTGCATAAAATGCCAGTCTAAAGAAATTTTATTGATCTTTTTGGACAAGGACAGCTGAGAGTTACCTGTCTGCTTAACCCCAGGCTCACACCGACTCCAGTCTTACCGTTGCGGTGCGGTGGGTGCGGCGCCTCAGTGATTCCAAGTCATTAAAAAGACGTAAACCTCTCTCACCGGCTGCTGAGCTGTCCGGCTACGGTTACCGAGACACTCCGGCGCTGCAGAAAATTCCGCAAGAAAGCTATCCTTGCGGCGTGCCGGAGCCCTCCGCAACAAGCTCTCGCAAATATCCTTATTTGGGCCGTGTTATCGCGTGAAGTTACGTGAACTCAAGTGAACTTCTGTTAAATCTCTGGACCTGTTGCCGGAGCCGCAGAGCCGCACCGCACCGTAGTCAAAAGGGCGGTGTGAGAGGGGGTGTGCGGGAGTTGCGGTCTCCGTCGGCTCGGTAACCGCACCGGAGCCAGTGTGAGCAAGGGGTAATAATGCTCCATTATATTGTTTTTCTTGAATTGGGGTTGAAACGGTTTTTATTTAATACCTACACAAACTTAAAATGGTAAAACCAGATGATGAAAAATCAAGAATTTATATTTTTGTCTTTGCATCTTTTACCACACACCTTATCAGCGTTTCTGTTCACTATCAGTCGATGCAAACTGATATCAGGCAGAGGGAAAACCCGAACCTGTCCGTCTTTAAGGCAGCTGTAACTGGGGATTTCCAGTGCTACTACCGTCTAGTTAGCTTAGCTAGCCCACCACCAAACTGACCCGTCAGCAGGACTCCGCCCTTCTATAAAAGTATATTTAAGCAGCATCATAATCTTGATAATTACCTACACAGATGAGGCTTTGAGGGGTTTTTCTCATTTAAAAAAAAACATCTTAAAACAATTTTTTTTACATATTAATGGTGGGAAATAACTAACTAGCTGACAGGTTTGATGGTTAGAGGGGAGATCCCACTACGCTGAGTCACCGATCTGAGAGCACAGAGCTCTGCTGCTCTGAGTCTGCTAATTCCTAATAAACTAAGTAGATACATTTTTTGAGATGTAGCTTAAAAACATCTTAAAACTTGTTTTTGTGACAGTTAAAGGTATAAAAAATAAGATTTGTACACTGATCTTCAGCTACCGTCACTGCATGTGAAACAAAGCACTACAGGATATGTGGCTGTATAGACCCATCAACCAGCCTGGGTCATTTAGAAAAGGTCTCTAGTGTAACTTTAGCCACAGGAAAGTGAAATTACCCAGATTAATGTGAATGGAAAATGCTACACAGGCTTTAAAAGGACAATGGTAAAGGATCTGAGCTCTGACAGCAGACAGAACAGTGGAGTTTAGTCAGCTGAAGGGAGGCTCGGTTTTCCCTTTTCTTATTAAACGATCTGTTCTGCATGTTTCAAGTGTTGCTGGCGACATTTCACCGTTGCTGTGAAAACACATGCAGAATGTTAGCTATGCCTTTCCTCAGAGGCACCCACTTCCTTACGGTAATAGATAATACATTTCTCCTTGGAGATGACGGTTGTTAAGGGTAGGGGGATAATTTTCTTTGCATGACTACAAATCAGAGAGCACTGTTATTCTGATGGCTGCTAAATATTCTTTTATAATCATTTTATTTTTCCCCGCAGCTCGACGACCCTCTGGCTGCCTTTCCAGCCTTCAAAAAGTACGACAGAAATGGGTACGCATCGCCTTCTACCAGCTTTCTTTACAGCAGGCTCTATGCACAACTCCACTACTTTCTGAACTGCAGCTCTTTTGTTATCCGTCTTTTTCTAATGGATGAACTGATTAATCAAATTGTTTTTTTTATTATTAGTTTTTCATATTGAAACAACAGACATCCCGTCCAGGACATACAAAACAAAAACAAAAAAAGTAGGACTCCATATTTACATCACAAAAACATCTCAAAAAAAAGAAAAACATAAACCAACTATCGACAAGACAGATACTTCACACACACACAACCCGTGTTCCAGACATCCTTGGGTAGAAAACTAAAAACATAAGTATGAATAACAATCACAATCATAATGATGATAATTCTGCCAGAAAAAAAAAACTGATTAACTGAATAATCCAGGTGTGTCTGGCCAGGGTCATTGAGGTCAGGTCAGCATCCTTAAAGGTATAGTCGAGGATTTTTGCTAATTTTTGAAAAGACTTGCCCTCTGCACAAAAAAAAAAGGGGGTGTGTGCAGGTGGCGCAGCTGTTAGCGTGCACGACCCAGGTACAGAGGCCTTAGTCCTCGACGCGGCTGACCCGGGTTCGAATCCGACCTCTGGTCCTTTGATCTCGCTCTCTCTCATACCATCTTTCCTGTCAGCTTACTATCGAAAAAACGAGCCACTAGTGCCGCAAAAACTCAAAAAAAGAAAAAGAAAAAAAAAGAGCACAACCCTGTACCCGCTCCCGAGAGTGAACGGCTAACAAACACGTGCGAGGACATGCACAAGGCCATTTCTCCTCGTGCACGCTCTGTTTGAAAGTTGCTGTTTGCATCGCTCATACAAACTTATTTTCCAAAAGGATATTTGCAATTTTTCCACTATGTCTGACTCACCACCGTTAAGTGAAAATGTGGACGAGCACATAGAACGGCCTTATGTAAACATATCACCAGAATGATTGACAATTAGGAGGATTACTTATTTTGATGATCCACTTGGAGAAAGAACATCCTCCACTATACCTCTAGTTCAGGAAGTCGTAGAGTGTTGCATAGAGCCCATTGTCTCCAGCTCTGAAACTATGCCAGTCATGAATCCTCACTCCTGATTTTCTATTTGTTTCTGGTGAAGGTTGAACCTGCAGATAGAGTGTAAGAGAGTGACCTCCCTCAACCCGCTGGCCGTGGAGTGGGCCTTCGAACTCACTAGAGCCAACATGCAGACGCTGTAAGAAATCCTTTGGTTCTGTTCAGTCGATGACATTTTAAAACCTCTCTAAGCAGCCTTGTTGAGTTTGTGATATTCAAAGAGGTTTCCCCTCCCCTGCTGCAGATATGAGCAGAGCGAGTGGGGCTGGAAGGAGAGGGAAAAGAGAGAAGAGATGAACGACGAGAGGGCATGGTACCTGCTGGCCCGCGACGCAGACTCCACCCCTCTGGCCTTCTCTCACTTCCGATTCGACGTAGAGTGTGGGGAGGAGGTTTTATACTGGTAGAGCGCTCTAAAAACTCTCGTAAAAGCTTTTTGCTTTTGTTTTTATTTTATTTGTTTGAAATGCTTTTGTTCTGGACTCTTCAGCTATGAGGTGCAGTTGGAGAGCAGAGTGCGAAGGAAAGGGCTCGGCAAGTTTCTCATCCAGATCCTGCAGCTCATCGCCAACAGGTGACGAGAACAGCTCTGTTTTCATGCAGTGTCTTATTTCTACATGTTCCTCATTTTAAATGATAAAATTTCATGTTATCATTTAACAAAGAGTCAAAATTAAGGTTTATCGCTTGAAAATATTAAGTGAACCAAAAAGTCATTTGCAGCTCTGGAAACCTCAGATATCGCTATCATGTCTCTTAAGCTAAAATTGCAACAACTTAAATTTTCCATCATCATTAAAATATGATGGTGAAAATGATACTGTTTTTCCTTGTTTTTATAATTTGGCACAATTCCTGCTTAAGTGGGTTGCTCTGATGGTTAATTGGGTTAATTGATTACTTAATTGGGTTAATTGATTACTTAATTGGGTTTACAATTTTAGTATTAATTGTTTCAGCCCTGAAAAGTACAATAATTAGGTTTTTTTATTAGTGAAAAAGTTGTGCATTACCAGTAACCATTTGACGTTTTGATAAAGTCAAAACAAACCTTAATTGTAAATGATCTCTCACTGCTTTTGCTTTGGTTTCCTCCCAGTACACAGATGAAGAAAGTGATGTTGACAGTCTTCAAACACAACCACGGGGCTTACCAGTTCTTCAGAGAAGCTCTACAGTGAGTACAGGAGCTGTTGAAATGATGAAAACTTTTTGTCCATTTATTTTATTTACAGAGTATCATTACCTTTAACACACACTCTCATCCCACTTGTTCAAAACACACGATTACGAATCGACAGAAAATCGTGTCGGACGAGGTTGTGAAGTTTAGCTCATATTGAAAGTAAATGGAAGGGGGCTTTTATGCAAGGGGGCTGCTGAGGTCTGACTTAGATAGACCCTAGTTCACTGTAAATTGGACTACACACCAGTTCACACATCCGCTTTTGTGGAAAATACAAAATAAAATCTGTTAATCGCAAGAGGAAAGAGTCAGTTTTGGGGTCACACAGAGCATATATAGCAAAAGAGACAGACTCGTGCAAAAACAATCAATGAAACATTAAAACAAGAATACTTTACCCATGATAGGAGTTCAGGGGGACAGAAAATGAATAAAGTAGTGAGCCTCGCATAAACGAGGGACAGAAAGTTTATCAATCTCCTTGGAAGAAAAAATTACTTAAGGAGGAGAAAAATGGATATAGTAAAATAGTGTCCCTTTTTTTGAGCCTTACAAAACAAAATAGCGAGGGGCAGATAGAGCAGGTAAGTGTGGCATCTCTCTTCCCTCTTTATGAAAAAAAGAAAGGATAAACTTCACAGCCTGTAAGAATCGCCTCTCTGCCACATTCAGCATATAAACTGCCCCACAGCGTTTATCTTTTGTTTAGATGTAGATCTCATTATGTCTTAATATAGGCTAAAGAACATGGTCTGTGTGTTCCAGTTTGAGAAGCTGCACAGACTTGTTAGGTGGCATTCTAACGCTGGCGTTAGAATGCACCAGCACTTTTTAATCTTTTTTTTTTTTTTTTTTTTCACAACCTTTCATAATCTGTCCAAGTCAAAAGTGGCTGAAGATTTTTTTTTAATTTTTGTATAGAAGTGGAAAAAAATCAGTACAGATCTATTCACCCTGCCAAGATGTAGCCTCTCTATATGCAGTCAGTGTGACATGGAAAAAAGTCATTCATAACCTGTGTGTTCAGGCCTTAAAGCAAGTCCGTTCCCCCAATGCTTCTCTAATTAATGTCCTCATTTGTATCTTTTTTTTTTTTTTTTTTTTGCATTTTGTATGTGAACCTGTTTCAAATGGATGGCTTCTTACCAACTATTTCCTTTAGTTATTTTTGATTAGAGCATATAAATCATCCAGGGCCAAAGTCTGCAAAGGACTGGAACTGTCTGCCTCTGCTCTAGAGTTTGTTAATCACTGACTTTAATTTTGGTGTAAACCAGAGTTGTCGTTTTTTTTTGTTTGTTTGTTTACTAGAGATCCCTATGATATACTTTCTTTTTTAGGGCCTCACATGCTGATTTTAATTTGGACTGATACCATCTTTTTGTCTTTAAACACCTATATTTCAATTCATTAGTCACTCTGAACACTAGTTTTGAATACCATAAATGTTTAAACTGCCCATGAGGTATTTCTCTCAGACAATGGATGATAAGATTGATTTTACATCTGACTGGGCGTCCTCAGCTGCTGTTCCTTTCAAATCAAATTGAAAATATTTCACTTCTGTAGTCAAAATATTTAGAGGATGACTAACATGTTTAAGAAAAGAACTGGCTTTAGAATAAAGATGCTTTATTATCCATAAAAAAATTAAATGCTTTGAGCATTTCATAACTGCATAATATCAAAGTAAAATTTGCGGTTTTTAAAAAGCCAAAAGAGTAACTACTTAGCTTAAAATAGTGGTTTTAGCTGTTTATTTTTAATTTTTTTTTAAATAAAAGTAGTATGGAAGTAGGGTTTAATTAGGGAATCAACCTACAAGCATGCATAAGTTATTAAAAAAGCCTAATCTTTTGGTCCCTCAATTAAAAGCCCAGGATTATAAGCACTAAAATGCTACGAATTCTTGTATTTTATGTACCATATTTTCTGGACTATAGAGCGCCAGTCACTATAAAAAAACAAACAAACCTGGAAACGCACATCTATAAGCTGCACCAGGCTGTAAGCTGCTGATATCTACTGGAGTGGGGACGAAGAAGAATGCTAGCTACCGTTAGCTTGTTGGCTCACTGCAGTAAGAGCCTCTAATGAAAGATAGAGCTTCATCTGCTCTTTATTTGAGCTCAGCAGGAGTTGAGCACAGTCTCTTCATTGGTGCAGCAGCTTTAATGCGGCAAATAAATGTCAAAATATGTAAATTTGGGACATTTGTTCTCTGTCATGCCTGCTGCTAGCATCTTGTGCTAAATGAAACTTAGCCCCTTATTCCTTTATTTCCAACTTTGATTTCTCAGTCTGGCAGTCAGAGAAAAATCAACAGAAAAGCCACACCTTCTTAAAAGTTTCATGGTTCAAAGCGTTGGAAAAAAAGTAGCTACTTATAGTCCGGAAAATACGGTAACTTTGATTTGTTTCAGTTTCTCTGTCTCCACAAATATCCTAATGTTTTGCTGGTATTTTGTCGCTCCTTCTGACTGAGCTGGTCTAGTTTGTTGGTTGCCACAATTAAACACACCTCCAGATCTCCCTACACATTTTATTTTTTCATGCTGCGCTTGGTAAATGTGGTAGAGCACTAAGGGTCATCATCTATCTTGAAACCAGATGTGCTCCAGCGCTTTAACTAGTTTCTGCCCCGGCTCTACCGATGTGCGTGTCCTGCTCTTGTAACAACCTCCTCCGCCTCCAGGTTCGAGATTGACGAGACCTCGCCGAGCATGTCGGGCTGTTGCGGCGACGACTGCTCCTATGAGATCCTCAGCAGGCGGACCAAACACGGCGAGGCCTCGGCGGGCCACACCCACGGCGGCGGGCACTGCGGCGGCTGCTGCCACTAAAAGGTCGCTGCTATCAGGAAGCACTCGCTAACGGCTGCAATCCGACAACTTTCGAAAGCTGTATGTGGATGACGGAGCGTTTTCTTTTTTTATTTTAAATAAGCCGTAGGGGGAACTCCTGGGTAGAGGTGCAGAAAACTGTTTTTCAGGATTCTGTTTGTGTGTCTTTTTGTTTCTGTTTATTTCAAGCTTTTTCTCTTCTACTTATCGACCTGCCCCCCATTCCTCCTCCATCCACTCATACTTGTCAGTTATTCTCAGACATTAAGCAAAACCAGTGTTGCTCCAACTCCTTCGGTACCACATGGCAATGAATCATTTTGATTCCTAAACTGAACAAATTCTGGTGCTCGTTCCACCTCTGACGAGTTTGTCTCCTCTAGTCTGTTGGAAAGCTTTATATCGGGTGCTGAGTTCAGACCTAACATTCAAATAAGTTTAGAATTTTTCAGTTTCTTGTAAACTTTGCCGCCTCATCATTCCCCTTTTTATTTACATGGAAGCTGCTTGAATCCAAATTTTTCGCTTTTAATGCAATTTTTAACCTCTGAAAAGTAGACCACTCCTTCCTTTCCTCTCTAATACTTTATGTTGAAAACAAAGCTTATTTACTGAAACCCACACTTCAGTTGCCATCTCTACTTTTCCCTCTCCTCTTAGTCTCAAAGTTCTGGATGATCCTAGCAGACCTGCTCTTATTTTTAGTCATCAGAGAACAAGCTTCACTTAAAAGAGCTCTGGGTATCAGAGTTAATGCTGCATTCAGAGCTCAGGTCACAACTTTACATACAGTTGGCCATTAAAGGCATTCATTTTGGCCTTCTAATCAATAGTTTGGACTTTTTTTTTTTTGCAGGTTTAAATAATTATCAAACTGCAATGATAAAAAAAAAAAAAAAAAAAAACAGTGCAAAGTTTAAATTCTGTTTCACACAGCGGAAACTAAATGCATAAACGGGCTGAATGAGAAATGGATGAGTTTGTTTAAATTGGTTGTTTTTTTTTCTGTTTTTGATTCACAAATATTCCACAGGATTGGAACGGGGGCGGCTCAAGCTCCAAAAGCTTGACCCTGCTTTGCTTTAACCTTCCAGACCAAGCTTGGATGCGTGTATACATTTTTTCCCCCCACCCTCTTCTAACACATCCTTTTCTGTAGGTTTGTATTTTCCTCTAACTATAGAACTAATTAAAAATACATTTTTTTTTCCTTTTACTTCCTTATTCCATCTATTCAATGCTGTGCATTGTATCCCACAGCATGATGCTGCCACCACCGTACATGACAGACTCCCCTTTGTCATCAAGATAAAGCCCCCAGTTATTGTGACAATAATAACCTTTTAACTACATGAATTTGGTTTGCTGATGCGGGCAAATTTTAGCCATGTGATAAGTCCATTCTGGAGTTGGCCATTCCTTAATAGGAAATATGAATTAATGTATAAAAGGCGTTTATTAATAAACTTCACCCTAAACAGGTTTGGCTTTTATGTTGATTATGCTTCCAGAAAACCAAGTAGTTATAGAAACGACTCCATATCAGACGACATGTTGAGGTGTTTTTTGCTAAAGGAGAACCATAAATAATAATAATAATGATAATGTAGGTAAATATTTGAGCCTGTATTTCATTGTTAGTGCAGACATGTGGCCCAATTTCATGGAAGTTGGTAATTGGCCTTGGGGGGAAAGAAATGCTTCTGTAAATATTCATTGTGAAAGGAATGCAAACCATCACCTGATCAGTAGCTCCTTTCAAAACCTTTTCTCGCCTAAATATGCTGTCTTGAGCAAATCATATTGATTTGCTCAGAATTAGGTGGTTAGAATCAGTCCTGAGCATAGAAACGAAGCACCACTCCTTCTGTTTCTCAGTATTAACTTGTTTTTAGGGTATTTATTTTCTTGCATGATTAAAACTGCTGTCCAAAAGCCAAAATATCAACACAGGTCTAATCCCAGCTTTATAATTACTTGCATATTTTTTTTAAATGGCAGAAATTTGCCAGACCTGCAGCTGCATGAAGTTTAAGATTCATTTAGAGTCGCAGTAAGCCGCAAGAAAAGATATTCTACACATGTGCATCAATTTGGAAAGTTGTTCTATCTGTTTATAAGAAAGAAAAACACAAGCTGTGAATCCAGCAACCCCGTTTATTTAACGCTGCTTTCCTTGCCTCCAGAAGCTCTCTAGTTTTTACGTCTAGTGCTTTGTTCAGGTTGGAAATGTGCGCATGCACCATCCTGCATCACAGTGACGGCCTTGAGTTGGTACGTTTTAAGTATTTGCTTTTTTAAAAATTATTCCTATAAGCGGTTCTATCAAGTTTTTGTACGGTTTGTTGTAAAAATGTGAAACTGGAGGCTGAAATGTGGGCAAATAACAGGTCAGATATGTCATTCATCATTACAATAAATGTATTACTGATTATGAGAGGATTTATAAAATGGGGCTTTCAGTTTTCTTTTTTGACTCAAAAACAACAGTTTTATCTTTTACTGATTAAAAGAAATGACAGAAGGACCAGGCAATGTGATTAGTTGTACTATTTTCTTTTTTACACCATAATGTTAAAACAATTCTGTGTAGTCTCTCTCTCTCTCAGGTCAGTCGGTCATCTTTACAGCCTCCTGTTGATTCAGATGTGGAGTCTGTTTGATATGTAAACAAGAACATTTAAAAAATACAACTGTAAACACAACCTGAATAGTGAAAACACTGAAATCCCTGTAAGTAACTTCTTCGGTTTTAGTTTGTTCCAGTTCCTTAAAAATGTGACATTGCATGAGAGTAAATTTAGATCTGCTGCAGGCTGTATTTTATTTTATTATTTTTTAAATAAAAAGCCTCACTGGGGAGTTGTTTAAAAAAGAAAAATCCTTACCAGTTTTATTTTGAAGCCAGTGAGTATTTTTGTTTCCTATTCCATGTGTCACATCCTTCTCTTCGTTTTCGTATCTTGTCTGTACATAAGTATAAATATATATAAGCTGTTGTGGATCCATCCTCTCGTCTTTTCTTGGCCTTTTTTTTTTTTTTTTAATAAAAGATGATGTTGAATAAAGGCAAACGCCATGTTTGAGATTGCGTGTTTCCGTGACAATGAAAGGGAAAGTCATTCTGCCTTGTCAGTGTTTTATTTGTATGTTACAAATAAAGGAAAGTTGTCTGACTTCATAATAAAGGCCTCTTCTTCAGTTATTTCATTAGATCAAGACACCAGAGAGGTTTGTCCTTAAGTTGTCTACCAAGCTGTCTTCTATAAAAAAGTAGTAGTTTACTGATATATATAATTAGACATGCTCTTCCTGTTGAGAATATATATTTTAAGGCCTAATTTGTCTTATTTTCTCCCCTATTAGCTACTTAATTTACTAAGACATTTGCAGGTTTCTGATGGTGGTAACTTAAAAAAAAAGAGCTGGAAAAAATTTTAAAAAAGTTTTCATTCTAAAGCAGCTCTTTTTTTTTTTACTTATACATTTTTTTAGACTATCTGCTTTTGAAAAATCAAAATAGAGTGTAACGGGGGTCACCAACCTTTTTAAGGCTTGGAGCTACTTTATAGGCACAGAGTCATAGGAAGGGCTACCAATACTGACCTATGAACTGGAGGGGTCAGCTTTCACCTTAACGTCATACATAATAAACATAATTTTGTTTCTTTTGATTTCAAATTTTCTTTCAGATGTTGCTGCTTTGAAATCCCTATAAATGCACCATATGATTGACATAATGAAGTGCTCTATAAATTATTTAAAAAAGCAGAGCTATAAAAATAAACTAGAAGACTGTAAAGGGCCCCTTCATGCCTACAGGCACTACGTCGATGACCCCTGATATAACCTTTATTCCACATCATTACAACTATACTTATGTATAATTTATAGGATTTTTAAAAATTATAGGATTTTGATTTTTATGAAATATCTTATATAGTTTCTGGGATAATTAACAGTTAATTAACTGTAAAATAAAGTTTGGTTACGTTATCTTGATTTGCCTCTGCGGAACCTTTTTTTCAATGTTTCCTGTGGGACTCTTTATGGCGTTACGCTCGCACCGGACGTTGTTGGTGTAGTTCGCTCACTGCAGCTATGTCCTGAATAGAACCCAATGAATGGATGTTTAGTCACTGTGAGCCACATTTGTTCACCTCTGGTCAAGATGACATGAAGCTTTAGGTTTATCGCTCCCGTTCCCTCAGCTGGTAAGGGATGCTAATAGTTAGCCGAGCTTTTTTCCTCTCTCTTTTAATTAGCGTTACCGTTGATTTGTCATCGTGTTAATCAAAGCTCAGATGCTCCAGGGGGACAAAATTCAAACCTGCTGTGTGCAAAAAACTGCTTCCTTGTAAAACCTTATCTATTTTGCTCTCACAGTTACCATGGCAGCGAGGATGAAGCTGAAGCTGAAGACTGTGTTTGTGCTCTACTTCATGGTGTCCCTGATGGGTCTGATCTATGCACTGATGCAGCTCGGTTAGTGCTCTTTACTATACAATAGTGTGCATATTTATCCATCAAAATGACACTTTCTTAAGGTTCTTGCATAAACTGGGATATCTTTATTTTTAAAAAATGTTTAAAACTATTTAATTTTCCTAAATTTCAAATAATTTACTACTTTTTGCCTGTCTTGAATTGTGTTTTTAATGTGGCAAGTCGGAAAACGTTTCTGGAGTGTGAATAATTTTGCAAGGCTCTACATGCGTAGAAATGTCACCTGTCCCCCAGGCCAGCACTGCGACTGCTCAGAGCATGACTTGCCAAAAGATCGTGCCATATCCAGGCTGCAGGAGGAGCTCTACCGCCTCCAGGGCCAGATAAGGCAGTTGGAGAAGCTGAAGCAACCGGAGAAGCAACCTCCCAAGTCCTCCCTGCCCACTATCTTTGTCATCACTCCCACATACGCCAGGTATCCCTCCTCCGGACCGATCTGCCTCCCTGAGCTGCTGCTTCAGTTCTCATCAACCTTTCCTTCTCTTTGCAGGCTGGTGCAGAAGGCTGAGCTGACCCGTCTGTCCCAGACTTTCCTCCACATCCCTCGGCTGCATTGGATTGTGGTGGAGGACTCGCAGCACAAGACGGCACTTGTTACCAACTTCCTGATGAAGAGCGGCCTGACCTACACCCACTTGCACATACCCACTGCAAAGGAGCGCAAACTTCAGGAGGTGGGTGCAGGTGAGGCTCTAAAGCATGCTACTTATCTTTAACACTCTCTTTCTAACTGTCTTTCGCTGTTGGCTTCAGGGTGATCCCAGCTGGCTGAAACCCCGCGGCGTTGAGCAAAGAAACGAAGGGCTGCGGTGGCTCAGAGAAGACCGAAAGACTCAGGCAGGGGCGGATGATCAGCAGGGTGTGGTTTACTTCGCAGACGATGATAACACGTATAGCCTACAGCTGTTTGAAGAGGTAAGTGAATATTTTTATTGTGTTTAGATGTCATTTCCATTCCAAACTAAATACTTAACAATCTTTTCCTCTTTCCACAGATGAGGAACACTCAGCGCGTTTCTGTGTGGCCAGTAGGTTTGGTTGGTGGGATGAAATTTGAGAGCCCTGTGGTTGAAGGAGGGAAGGTACGCCGTTATTTCTCAGTTTGATAAGTTGCATTTTCTTTTGTTGTGCAAGTTAAACGCTTTAAATGAAGTCCAAATCTTTACCAGGAGGGGTATAGTTTTCCCCTGAAACTGCTTTATGCCTGGAAATTATTTCAACCTGAAACTGACTTTCATCTGATCTTCCTTAAAGGAAATAATTCATATAGATTAATTCAATTCAGTTCATATATATATAGCGCCAATTCACAACACATGTCATCTCAAGGAACTTTCCAGAGACGATTCAACCAGATCATCCAGTCAAATTGATTCAAAGTTTTCTAAGGAAAACCAGTTGATTGCATCGACTCATTGATTCAAAGGCAATCCTTCATACCAAACATGCTTGGAAACACTCCATTTTAACCAGGAAGAAAAGAACCAGATTCGGTGTGAGCAGCCATCTGCCGAAAAAGAAGCAGAGATCAGGAGTCTGCAGCTTCTAGCTCTTCATCACTTTGGCTAAGAATTATGTTGAGCGAGTAAATTTTTGGAACAACAGATATACTAACAAATGCATGTTTTGCCGTTTTCTTCATGGACTAATTGCACTAAATAAATAAAAAATGTAACTCTAATTGTCGCAGAAAAACATCCCACACTTTTAAATCCCAGTTAGTTTCATAATTGGTAACCTAACCTGATTTTCACCTTCATACTTCCTTTCAGGTGGTTCGCTTCCATACTGGCTGGCGGCCCAGTCGGCCCTTCCCAATGGACATGGCTGGCTTTGCTGTGTCCCTTAAACTGGTCCTGGCCAATCCAGATGCTTGCTTTGACGGAGAAGCACCCATGGGTTTCCTGGAAAGCAGCCTCCTCAAAGGTCTAGTCACAATGGATGAGCTGGAGCCCAAAGCAGACAACTGCACAAAAGTACGAGATGCTACCCATTTCCATAATGTTGTTTTTTCTTTTACAAATTATGAACTAAATCTTTCACTTACTAAAGAAAATGATTCCTTTAAGTTTATGGATAAAGTTTACTAGTCATAGAGAACAGTTTGGGTTTGCTAACTTTAGCTCTTGATATTTAGGTGCTGGTTTGGCACACCCGGACAGAGAAACCGAAGATGAAGAGGGAGGAGGCGCTGCAGGTGCAGGGACTGGGCTCAGATCCCGCTGTGGAAGTCTGAGCATCTAAACACAAACAGAAGCATTAAAAGGAATCCCCTTATAAAAAAACTCCCATGTTTACATCACCGTGACTGTCTGGTTTTGGTTCAGCTACTAAACGAGTGTGACACCTTAATGTTTCAGTGTTTATAGCATCATCGTTACTGCAGGTTTGATTTCAGGACTTAGACATTGCAGTTTAAGCAGTTGCCTGAAGAGGGCGCTTAATGTAAACAGTTTAAAACCTCATTTGCACCAAGAAACAAAAGTGGCACAATTTTAAACACAATTAAGTTATCAGATAGATACTAATCTATGTTTTATTTTAAAATTTAAATAAAAAAAATTGAAAATAATTTCAATTCAAATATGCATCAAGAATGAGTGTTTTTGAAGACCTAAATTAATAATTCATTATAATTCTACACTGATGATACACTGCAACACAGGGGTGTGTACGCTGTTTGGTTTTATCCTTAGGATGGTGGCAATTCTTGCTCCGGCTGTCTTGCATGCTCTATTTGAATATACAAACGAGAGCCTTTTCCTGTCACCTCTGTTTAGAATAAACCCATAGTTGTACCTGACACGATGGATATATTTAGATTATTTGTGGTTTGCCATTAACCTCTCCTCCCTCTATCTTTTTTATTTTAAAGATTCATGAACGTATATTAATGCACGGCTTTCGTTTTGCATGTGTAATGTGTGAAACCGCAGTCTAGATGCTTTCTAAAGCATCTAATGGTGGACATTTTTGGTTATATTCAAACTCTTCTGAGCCAAGGTAGCGCATTTGTAACATTTTACCAGCAATAAGAGCTACAGCAAACTCGCTAGCTATTTTTTTTAGCAATACAGTAAACAAATCCAATCTTGTCTCCATTCGGATGCAACATTGTAGCGTGACTCAACTCTAGGATCGAACGGATTGACGTGAAGCAGCTTTAGAGCTTACATGTTGCACCACTTAGACCATAGAAACTCCTGACTGATGAGGGGAAAACTGCTGATGCTCATAAACAAGTTTATTCAACCCGCAATAAGCAAATGAAAAAGGCACAATGTGTTGCTTTTTCCATCTGGAAAACACCTGAATTTGGCTGTAACAGGCAGCACTCTGTTGGTTCCTGTATATAAACAGTAGTTTTAGCTGTAGAGCCATCATCTTCATCAGTTAGGTTGAAGATCGATACACTATCACTGTAAAAACAGCCTGTGCCTGCTACAGAAAAAAATAGTGCCTGTGAGGAAGTTTATGTACTGGTGTTTGTGTATTTATTATTGTGATACGTTTTACTCGCTGTACGGTGTGATAATGTCTGACTCAGGCATTGTAAATAAACATCATGTAAACATGTTCGATCTGATTTGTTCAATTGTTCTTAAGCTGTAGGGGAGAAAATGAGCTACAGACATGTATGAATGGATAAACTTGACATTTAAATAGGAAACAAATAATGGAAAGCACATTTTATGAACAAATTTATTATATTTAATGGGGTTGTGTCATTGCAAAAGCGTAAAGTTTGCCATTTTTATCTTATTTTTGAGTGTTTTCCTGTTCAACCACATTATGTGGCCCAGTTTCAAATATTTGACCAGAACAGTCACCTTTAATTGAAGGACAATTCATTATATTAGGAGTGTTGGTCTAGTGGTTAGAGCAGTGAGCCTGTGCTCCGAGAAGGTTGCAATAAAATGTTTGATCCCCACAGCCTCCACTCTGGGTTCCTGAGCAAAACTCTTAACCCAGGCATACCCAAAGTCAGTTCTCGAGGGCCGCTGTCCTGCAGGTTTTAGATGTTTCCCTGCTCTAGCACAGCTGGTTTACATTGATAGTTGATTAACATGCTTTTGCTGAAGTGCAATCATCAGAATCAGCTGTGCTAAAGCAGAGAAACATCTAAAACCTGCAGGCTCATTGGGACAATAAAGGTATTTACATTAGGATGTTCAGAAAAGGACAGGAAGCAGCAATGGATTTTAATGAACTAGAAACTGTGCAGTGAGTTTCAAATCTACATGGAATGTGAGGATTACCGACCTAGAATACAGACCCCCCCTCACTTAAGCTTTCTTTCTGTGTTTCAAAAAGCTTGTGCACAACCTAGTATTTGATCATTGTAAGTGAAGTATATCGTCTATATACGGTAAACTCTGTTACTAGTAAATTGATTTTAAATTAAGCATAGCCTGATTTTGTTGTAAGAAGGCAGGCATTTAAAAGATATAAGCATTTCAGCCTATGTAAACACAATGGGATTTTGTTTTTTATCTGTCTAAGTGAACTTAAACTAAAATGGAAGAACATGACCTGGGAGAAATTTCTTTATTTCCATTTTTTATTTTTTTTATGTTTGTTCTTGGTGCAGGATGAGTAACATCTAACATAAAACATAGATGGTCTTAAATCTTTGTGTTCACGTCCGATGGATGACATGGCATTCTGAATGTTAACCGTTTAGTCATTCTCTATATCTTGAAAACTCTGTAACCCAGGCCTCCGTTTTGTCTGATCTTGTTGAGGGGTGTGCATCACTTTCGTGAGGACTTTTCTCTTTCACACCTGTCTTCTCTCACCTGTCTGCGACTGCATGCCCATCCTGCCTTTCAGCTGTTTGATGACCTGCAGATTTAATCACCCAGACATGTCTCTGCCTACAGCATCATCCCTCCTCTAACCTCAACCCACCTGAGGTTTCTTTCAACTGATCGCAGTGACTGACAGTTTTTTCCTCCCACTCTGTGGGGAAGTCACTGTTGTATCACTATATATGGAGAGGGTGGAGATGCACGCACACAATTTGAAAAGGATTAGGACATGAGTAAGAGGAGCTGAAGTCAGAACTCGGTTATGTCGACGGTGATTCATTCCCATTCAAGTGTTGTTTTTTTATTAGACACAAACAACCTCAGTTTCAAGCTTTCTGTTTTTAAAATCATGTCAAGCTTTGCTGAATTAATATGTTTCGCTGTGTTGCATTCATACTTAAACATGTTGGTTAGTACATCCTGACTTGAATCAAGCAGGCATTGAGATAAGTACTTTAGTGCACACAAAGCAAATCACCCCCCACTCCCTGTCCCTCCCAAACTCACTATTTACCTTCCAAACAGAAATATAAAAGGTCATTTCCTTATCTTATTTTACACAAACATCCATCTGCTCAGCCAAGGCTTTAAATGTTCTTATAATATCTAAGGAATGCATGTTAAAAGTGACCGCTCACTGTAAGGAATCTATTTGAAAGGAGCCATCAAGTCAGTTTATAACAACACTGGTGCAAGCTACTGAGGATATGATTGTATAGATATAAGAAGATATAATTATTAAGAAGATATATTTTCAAAGTAGTCATTTGAAATTGTGTTCACTCCAATATTTCAAAATAAAATCCAGAGCTTTAATTGAATCACTATAATTCATAGGGGTTGTAAAGGTCATAAAGAGCAGGCAACACAGCAGAGGAGTCAGAGATAACATTGTGGAGAAGTTAAAGCCAGGATTAGGTTATAATAGAAGAGTGGGAGATATCTACAAATCTACCAACACATGGCTTTCTACCTGAACCAGGAGTCTCAAACTCACATTCTCAAGAGCCGGTGTCAATGTGTTCCTGGTCACACCCAGATTCATTTCTGAATAAATTAATTACCTCCTTAGCAAGTAGCCACACTCCAAAGACTCGTGCTAATTACCTTATTATGGGATTAATTTTTAGGTGGATACACACTTAAACGTTACAGGTCACTCAAGAACCTGAGTTTGAGGTAACTTACTGAGAGAGGAGAGTGTAAACCTGAGAGCTAGCCATGGGTTCTAGGTAACTGGATGTGCTACAGAGATCTACAGCTCAAAGGCAATCAGGAGACACTCAACATGCTGGATGAGTCCTGGATGAGCAAGACAAAGGCATTTCCTGAACAAAACCCCTTAGAAATCCTGTCTAAAGCTAGCTGGAAACAATGCAGGAGACGCATTGCACTTGGGTCCCAGAGGTTCTGAGTTCCAGTCCCCAACACTCCTATGGATTAGTATTCTGGGTCCCTGAGCCAGACCCTTAACCCCAGACTGCTCCCTGGGCAGCCTACTGTTCCCCAAGGGAATGGGTTAAATGCAGGGTGTCAGGGTTTGGTTGTGGTTTTTGAGGACCCAAATGCAGAGGTGAGTTCTTGTAGTTTTAAATTGAGTTCTTACAGGCAACAGAAGCAGGAATCCAAAAATCCAATCTAAAAATGTAAAACAAACCAGAACCACTGAGACATCAGGGAAAACATAAACGAGGAGCCGAGGAACCAGCACTGAGAACCTGCACAAGGAGAGTATTTATGGGAGACTGAACAAAGACAGGACTAATGAGCTGACTGGGAGCAGGTGTGAACAGAGACCTCGAGAAGGAGCTAGGAAAAAACAGACCAACACAAGAGGGCAACAGAGGGCAAGCAAGAGAAACCTAAGAACTCAAATAAATCCAGAAAACACAAAAAAATAGGAATTAAACCAATAAAACTAGAAAACATGAAGCAAAGTAAAACTGAATAATCAAAAGAAAACTTAACAGAACCAAGACCGTGAAAGAGAGTGAATTTCCCCATTGTGGGACAATAAAGGATTTACATTTACATTACAGCAAACACATGGAAGAGGGCGCCCTGATCAGGTGAGAACAAAACTGAGTTATTTATTCTATATTTCACCTCAGGTCAAAAAAGAAAATAAACTAATAATACTAGTAAATCTGAATACACCAATCCTATGGAACATGGTGGTGGTAGGATCATTCTGTGGGGATGCTGTGAGGTGGATAGTTAAGGCCAATTTAAGCTTCTGACGCATAGCCTCTGCAACCATCAAATCTGTCTATGTGTGCAACCACGCCCCCCGCCCAGAGGTTCTGCAACCACTGTCGTGCACCTCATAAAAATCCTGACCGTGCAGATCTCAAGTGGAAGTGAGCAGACAAAAAGCCGCCGTATTGGTCCTTGGTGTGCCTTTCCGGGGTCTGTGTGGTTGTCCTTCTCGATTCAGTGCTGGGGCGCGCCATTTTTATACTACAGCTATGATGAAAGGTTAATCGAGAAGGTAAGTACAATCCCTCCAAGTTCTTGCAAGTTCTCGAATAGGTTCCCACTTGTGCTTTGGCGGGAAACTTCTGTGCGTCCCTTGAAATTCCAGACCGACGGGGCAGAAGCATACCAGCAAAGCTGGTTTGTAACCAGACCCAAGGGACATTTGATGTGTGCAGTTGCAGAAGTCTAATCTGCATCTTTAGATGTGATATTAAAACGGTGAGGGACCTTTCCTCATCCCTAAGGCGTAGGGTTTTGACCCTCTCGTTTACCGGGGTGAACTCTAACACGTGACGTTGGGGGGCAATGAGCCACGGCCCCCCAGCCTGCTGCCTCTCCCCGCAGGCAAGGCCAGAGAAGTGGGGAGTCCAGCCCCTCTCTAGGAGATGGGATCCAGAACCCAAGCTTTCCGTAGAGGTGAGCCTATATCCGGCGAGGTGACATTCCACGCCCCTACAGCCAGAAGCTGCGTGTCGGACCAGGCCGTTGAAGCACCCCACCTCGACCGCCATTCAGTCCTCTCTGCCCCCGAACCCTACAGATCCCTCTGTGGGTGGTGGGTCCACAGGGGTCCAGCTGGGCCCAGGCTGGACCCCATGAGCAAAGGCCCGGCCCACCAGGCACTGGCATACAAGCCCCAACCCCAGGCCTGGCTCCAGGGTTGGGCCCCCGGCTGCACCATCCCGGGCAACGTCACTGTCCTTGATTTTGTTCTTTCCATAAGGGTCTTCTGAGCTGCTCTTGGTCTGACCCTTCACCTAGGACCTTTTGCCATGACAGACCCTACCAAGGGCGTAACGCCTCGGACAAAATAAATCCCAAGATCATTTGGGCACAACCCCACCAGGTGAAGGTATCAGCTCATGGTGGTTGCATTACAGATCAATTATCTATTGACATTATTCACTTTAACTTCAGAGTCACATAAATAAAAATTCCAGTTTTATTTTTGATAATATCTTAATTTTATTAGGCTTTAAAGATCACATGACAGTTTTAATTACCTTTTAATTATCAGTTGTACCATAACGTCATCTATAAGCCAACCGGATGATCGACCTTTGAGACTAACGTCTAAATCATCACTCTGACAGCTGTTCAGGTTCAACATTCACTGGAAGTGGCTGATAACAGCAGGTTCAGAGATGAATCGCTGACTGCATGTCTTATATCTTCTGAAGCGAGTCTGAATGTACATCTCTCTGGAGGAAAGCTTAGTTTGGGTTCAGAGCAGATCATTTTACCTCCAAGATTGAAAAGACAAGGCATGTTCCTTTAAGTAGAAGCACACAAGGAGTCCCTGATAGCTCCTGGAGCTGCTCAGATGATGACGACAGGCGTTTATATTTGGGCGGGGCTTATGAGCGACGTGCTGTGTTAAAGGGAGTCAACTGAGCTGTTCCTGGTTACTAACACACACAAATAGAGAAGGTGAAAGGCTTGCTGGAGAACAGGAGACACCAGCTGGACATCAGGTAAGATTTAAAACTTATACATGAACTTAAAGGAATACCTATTATTGCAGAGTTAGAGAAATGTCTTTCTCTCAATTCTAATTATTACAATAAGGAATTATATGAAAGGAGTACTTTTGGAGGATGTTTGAATGAAAAATATATAAAGTTATTTTACAATAATTTGCTGCCCTTGTTTCAAGGTGAAAAACACAGGGTTATTCAAAACATTTAATGATTTCTAAACCGACTAGGATATTATGTTTTAATCAAGAATTTATGGCTAAGCAATTAAAAAGTTAACATTTGCTGAATGAGCCAAGCCAAATGAAAATAAAGTTGATTGAAATCAGAAATAAATTTAATAATGTTTTGTATGTTAACGAATGATTCTTAAAATGTGCATCTGAAAAGAAGAAAATTAGATAACATTTTTATAACAAACTTTTTTAATTACATCATTATTTGCTCTGTGTTTACTGCATGACCATTAGTTTTGTTGGGTGTTGTTGCATGCAATGTGGTTCTGCACCTGATCAGCTGTGGTAGACGCTTCATCTTGAGACATAAATAACAAGAAGCAACACAGAAAAACAGGAACATACCATCATCTATATCTTCACAAATAAAACTAAACCCCAGATTAAGCTAATCTGCAGTAAAATAAATCATCTTGAGTCCTTCTTTCCATCTTCTGACACATTAAAGAGAATTTCAGTGTTTTTCAGAGGAAAAACTATTACTTTTATTGACCCCAATCTGTGGAGCCAGAGGCTGATCTTTTCCAAACAGAAAGCCTCTCAAAACATGTCATGCCACATGTCATAAACACGTATAAAACAATCTTTCCATTTGAAAAAGACAAGCAATGCTTCAATTCCACACCAAACCAACATCAGGCACTGAAGCATATCTAAAGGATACCTTAGAAATAGAGAAGTAGTCGGCATTCAGTGTGGTTTTACTGGGTTTAATTTGTCTTAAGATAACATTATGTGTGAGCTGATATAGTGTTTTTATTGAAAGTGAAAAAAAGAAATATATTGAACAAATAATTAAAATTATGACTTAGAAAATTTTGTGGTTACAGAAAATCTCTTGGCAATACATGTGACTAATCTTAAATGTGAATCCCTTCATTTTTACAAATTACATGTTAACAGATTGTAACACACTTTCTGTGCCACTGATTCCCAATGCTTAACTTAAACAGAGTCTGATTTTAATATGAGAATCTCAGGTTTCTCTCTGCCTCTGAATTTAGAAGCCAGGATGAGTGTCTTGCATGTAAAACAGAAAAAATCTCTGCAGTCCTGATCATTTGTTGCTCAATGAATATTTCACACCCTGCTTTAGTGGTTATGTTATATCTAAATAAAAAAATAATAATAATGACCATTATCTTGTAAATCTAATGAATAGTTAATCAGATCACTTTTTAGCTTGATTAGCAAATCCCCTGGGTTTTTGACTTGGAAGGGGAACATAGCTAAACTGGGTTTGACGCTATTCCTAGATTCAAGTTTCATAGATAAATTAAACAATGCATATGTAGCCATTGGTACTCGTAATTGGCTTATTCACTGTCATCACATTCATAACTTTGTTGATATCGTTTGATATTTCATATTGACTCTGTTTCAAAAACTATGAACAAATCCGAGTTGTTTTTGCACCCCAGTCATTTCATAACAGTCCTTCCCAGCTGCAGACAGAGCAGAGAGAGAAATGTCCTCCCATTCCGGACTTTACCCGATTCACAGGAATGTTGTCCCTGTTGCATGCTTCTTACTGGAGAATAATAAGTTAATATAATAAAACAGGAAAAAATGAAAGTTAATTGATGAATAGATGTATTAATCAATTAAAGGTATAGTGGAGGATTTTCACACATTTTTGAAAAGACCCGCCCTCTCCACTTAAAAAAAACAATACGCATGCACAACATGTTCCCGCTCTTTAGAGGGAACACTTATTAAATGTGTGCGAGGGCATGCACGAGTCAATTTCTCCTCGTGCACGCTCTGTTTAAAATTTACTGTTTGCATCACTCATGCAAGCTTACTTTCCAAAAGTAGATTTGCAATTTTTCCACTATGTCAGACTCACCGCCGGTAAGTGAAAATGAAGACGAGCACGCAGGACGGCCTTCCGTAAACATATCACCAGAATGATTGACAGTTAGGAGGACCACTGATTTTGATGATCCACCCAGAAAAAGAGCATCCTCCACTATACCTTTAAATGTCTTAGCTAACATCTCTATTCTTTCCTGTCTCAAGGCTAGGTAAAGAGGAAGGGCTGGAAATTTTAGGCAAAAAGAACTGACAATCAAAAACCTAATGCATAGTTATGAACATCTATTCATAAATTTTTGCAGCTATTTGACTCTCCCACAACTTAAGCCATATTTTCTATAGAATAATATTACAATGACACAACACTGACGCTGCTATGGCATCACATGATGCATATGGGTCTAAATGATATCATATTCATAACAATTTGCGATCGGTGTCAAATACTTTATACAGTGTTGGTGCCCACCGTGTCTTTAACCTTGTCTATCAGCCTAAAGGTATTGATTTTAGCTTCTGTTTGTCCTGCACCAGCAAAGCTTGTTATCAAACTCTGACTCTCTGTGTTTGTATTTCGTTGTAAGAACACTGCGCCTTTGGTTTTGAAATCCGGAGTCACAAAGCTGATAACAGTGACAGTGACCTCCCACAGTACATACTATCCACAGCAGCTGATCTACACTGATAAACCTGCACAACCTGTACCAATAATGCTGGAATTTGCACCATGATTATTCATCAAAACCCATTTATGTTGCTGATTATTAGTTTTATTTCTTTTTAGTATCAGAGCCTTTGAGAGTGAAATAAGTGGATTAAAAAATCAAGGAAATTTAAGGAATGATAATTAGGATGGTGTAATAATGATAACTCTTTTCTTTTTTAGGAAAATTAAAGTAGAGAGCAAACAGAAGATGACAATTGGTAAAAACTCAAGGAAGAACTCAACCCGAAGCTCTGTCCGGGCCCCGAAATTTCTGGATAAATCCAGCGGCTTCTATGGTCGGCTTGATGAGCCTGAGACCTCCACAGACGGGGGTTGCTCAATAGTGGAAAAAATAGAGATTGAAATAAAGGATGGCTGCTCAACCTCTGACGAGGTACGCAACACATTGACAGAAGAAGATGTGGAGGTGTTTGCCATGATTGAGGACGACGGAGAGACTCTTCTGCGAAGGAAACCCAACCGCCTCAGTAGCCGGTGGAGACGAAGCTCCAGGAGGAAGCAGAAGGGCGAGAAGGTTGAGGAGGGGGAAGCCAAAGACGAGAAGGCCAGCCAAGATGAAGACAAGATGAAGGTGGAGAAAGAGGAAGAAACTGTGAAGGAGCCTGACCTGGCACACTTCAAAGTCAGGGAGTTTGCAGATGACAGGGTTCTGATCCGAGACAAGAGGGGGAGAGAGAAGAACGAAGAGGAGACAGAGGAGGAAAGGAAAATGAAGAAGGAACAAGAGGAAGGGATAAAGATGGTGAAGAAGACTGCAGTGAAGAATTATCGGAAGGTTAGACATTGTTTATGTCACTTAAAGATGTCACATTTGCACAAATTCCACATCCCATTCGCTTGGTTAAACTTTAATCCCTTTAATGGTTACATAACGAGCCGTCAGAGTCTGTGGAACAAGAGGGCAAAGTTCTGCCTCGTCACTGGTTATTAATCACCAAGGAAACCGTTCATATCACCTTAATACATCACCACATGGGACAAAGTACAGCAGCCAGTGGTGCATATCACTAACACGATAATTAGGATTTTTCCTTTACCTTAACTTCAGTTGCTCATAAAATTACACCAGGGGACAGAGGTCAGCGGCCAGCGGAACATGTGTACTTTCACCAGCCTCATGTCGTAGAGATTTTCTGCTCCGAATGAGACACGCTCACTCTGAGGTGGCATTCCTGAGGCTCCGATGTCCGGTTCTTTGATCAGCAGACTGAAACGGGAGCCTTCCTACCAAACCAACAGAGTGAAAACATTCCTCTGATGTTAATCTAGCAGTCTAAGCCTCGCAGTCGGACCCACTGCACCATCAGATTAGGACCTTCTCAGCCTGTTGTGTAATGGTTTCAAAATGGCCAAATATGTTTTTCACTGGACCCTAAGTCAGAATTAAATCTGGCTGCCCCACAAGGAAGAATACACTGTCAACAAAAAGACTAGATTTTTTAAAGTAAAAATATTTATCACTATTAATATTTTTTCTTAACCTTGCAATTTAAAGATTGGGGTTACTCTCCTCCCCAGATCTAAGCTTGTACCTGAGTGGGCGTGGAGGTGGCCACAATCTCGGACTCTTGATTTTCTGTTGCCCACTTTATTCTTTACACAGCAATCTTCAAAGTAAAAAGTCTAACATATTCTTGAACATACTTTTTTTTTTGCATGATTTCTCCAAGAACCACCAGTTCCACATTCTCTTCAACCTTAGTGTTCTTTGATAGCATCTATATCAGTGAGTTTATTTAAAACTTTTTTTTCCCAGTGTTTTATTGTCATTGCACCGTCCAAAGTACAGAGCAACAAAAATAACTCTCTGCATTTAACAGTGGTGAGCAGTGGGCTGCCATTGTGCAGAGCAGTGACCAAGCTCTATGCCCTAACCACTAGGCCGCCACTCCCCCTAGAATGATTGCCCAGAGTTTTTTCCTTTTAGTTTTTCATTAGAAACTCTAAACAGGTTTTTCTTTATTAACTTGCATGTCCACAAAACAGGAAATAACAGCCCATGGCTATGCTAATATTATTTTCAGCTCTTCAGGGAAAAGCTTTTTGTTTATTGCAAATTATCACGATTGTATTTGGCTATCTCTAGGTCAAAGTGAACTGGGTCACTTTACCAAAAACAATGATTTGTATCAGGCGCTCCTTGGCAATAAATGAGAAACGTACATCTGAACTGCAGCCGTACCTGTAACACCTGGCCATCTGTTACAAACTAATTTCATTCAGATGTTTGAGGCTACCAATAGAACTATTCAACATTGTTGGTGCTACTGAATTTAATGTTTGTTCTCCTCCGAGATATAAATATTCCCACTCGTATCAGGCTTAATGCAGACTTTATTTTTTCCCCCGGCTCTCAGGATAAAACAACGTGTCTCTGCACCGCTTTCGAGAAACAATAGGAAGCTTGTTCTCCAAACAGGGAAATGTTGTTTTCCAGCGAACTCCAAAGGGTTTACAAAAAAAAAGCAACAAGAGATATAAAAAAAAAAAAAAAAAAAAAAAAAGTAATAAAAGAAAACATTACCCTGTTATTAAAATAGGTTGGGGCTTTATAATTTCCATGTTTGGTTGAATTCCTGGATGTCATCCTCTAATTCTTTCTCCTCAGGCCTTTGACCGAGCGCTTCGCCGCGGCTGGGAGGCCTTCATCACCAACCTCTACAGCGTCACGCTCACGCCTGTGAAGTCATCTGAGCCACCGCTTTCACTGAAGAAGAACCTGCATAACTCTGTGTTGGCTGAGTTTCAGTAGAGCTGCAAAAAATAAACACAGACTGTTTTTTATACAATCTAATCTGATGATGTGTGATTTTATCCTGACAGTCACAGAGTCTTTGATTAACATGTATTTATGTTTGTTACTGAGCCTTCTTTACTCAGAGGAGCCTTATCCCTTTGTGTGACTGCGGCTATTTATTTTACAAACTAGAGGAGACAAGCAGCTGGTTTTACATTGAAGTCTAATATTCATGACTGAGTTCAGCTGCTCCTTTTTGTTTTAGTTTATTCCAAAGAGGAAAAAAAATTTTTTTTTTTAGTCATATGCCTAATCCACTGTCAGGAGCATGCATTGCAGATATTTTCCCTTGGGTTAGCATGATGAAACAACTCATGTGTTGATGTGTAACTTTAAAAGGAACCAAAGATTTCATAGTGGCTATGACTGATCAGTGGAGTTGATTTGGAAATCTATTTATGGCTGGTCTGATTCTCACACTAAACTACATACATTTGGATAACAGTAATTATATATATAAATACTCCAGGTACCATTTTTTATTTTTTATTTTGTTCTGATGACGGTTAAAGAAACCTGAAGGAATAGGCTATGAATTAGTGTAACACAACAATTTGAACGACTCTGCTTATCTTTCATGTATTTTTTAACAGAGAAGCAGCAGTTTACTTTTTTATCTATTTTTATATTAGACTGATTAAATAATAATTATTAAGCACATACATATAAAAAAATATATAGACAGAGTTTAATTTTTTTTCCCTATACCATACATTTTATATATCATAAATATATTTTTATTGTTCTCGGGTTATCTTGAGCTTTTAAGGCTCATACAACCCTTGCATCCTTCAAACTGTGTTTAAGGGCTGACTTTTAAAAAAATAAATAAACTGTATTAGCAATACATTTGTAAAAGCCTGTGATGCCTTATTTTTATTGTTTTGTCATTTCATATGTCATTTTCCATATTTTTATATTGTTAATGTGCTGAAATACATAAAAAAAGTTTCATGACTAACTTAATTGAAAACAAAGTTTTATTTTTGGTTCTGGTTATAGGTCAACAACAGTGAGCCTGTTGTTGACCGTTATAGTTGATTAAAAGTTTGAATTGTTGCTCTAATGGTAAATGTGAGCAAGTTCAAACAAGCAGCAATTTTCTTGTAGCCATTTCTTAATTTAAAAACATAGATGCACATGTGAACAAAATTGCTGGTATGAAATAAATAAACCCATAATGTTAACAGAAATGCCTTAAATCTGGCAAAAGTAATAATAAATAAAAATTCTATGAAGATGAACAACTAGAAGCCAGACATTACTTTTTAACTAAGTGTGTGACAGATTGATTTTAGAAAATAAATGCATGAAAAAGGTCAGCACAAAAATGATGGCATCCCTAAAAAAGACTAACAATGTTATGACCAAAGGGACATGTTAAATCAAAGCGTGTCCACTAATTAGAATCCGTGTCTACTGAATCGGTCCTACATGTGCAGTTTGGGCTAACATGGTGTTTACCACACTCAACATGGACCAGAGGAAGCAAACCAAGAGTTGTCTCAGGAGATTAGAAAGAAAATTATAGACATGCATATCAAAGGTAAATGCTATACTGTAAGACCATCTCCAAGCAACTTGATGTTGTGACCACAGTTAGACGTATTAATCAGAAAATTAAGATCCTTTGGACTGTAGCCAACCTCCGTGGATGTGGTCGCTGGAGAAAAATTGAGGACGAATCAAAAAAGACGGATAATATGAATGTTGACAGAAAAATTTGGGAAAAACGTCCAATTCAATGAGCAGCGTTGTCAGATCGAACCATCATCGTTTGATAGTAGGAGATGACCAAGGAGGACACAATTTTTTGTCAGACCAAATACATTTTACCAAGTCACAAAGCTTCTGGGAGAACTTCTCATGGGCATTTTTTTTTATCTTTACCTTTACAGGTGCTGGTCATAAAATTAGAATATCATGAAAAAGTAGATTGATTTCAGTAATTCCATTTAAAAAGTGAAACTTGTATATTATATTCATACATTACATACAAACTCATATATTCCAGATGTTTATTTTGTTTAATTTTGATGATTACAAATGACAACAAATGAAAATCTCAAATTCATCATATCAGAAAATTAGAATATTGTGAAAAGGTTCAAAATTGATGGCCCCTGGTGCCACACTCTAATCAGCTAATTTACTCAAACCACCTGCAAAAGCCTTTAAATGGTCTTTCAGTCTAGTTCTATAGGCTACACAATCATGGGGAAGACTGCTGACTTGACAGTTGTCCAAAAGACGACCATCGACACCTTGCACAAGGAGGGCAAGACACAAAAGGTCATCGCTAAAGAGGCTGGCTGTTCACAGAGCTCAGTGTCCAAGCACATTAATAGAGAGGCGAAGGGAAGGAAAAGATGTGGTCGAAAAAAGTGTACAAGCAAGAGAGATAACCGCACCCTGGAGAGGATTGTGAAACAAAACCCATTCAAAAATGTGGGGGAGATTCACAAAGAGTGGACTGCAGCTGGAGTGAGTGCTTCAAGAACCACCACACACAGACGTATGAAAGACATGGGTTTCTGCTGTCGCATTCCTTGTGTCAAGCCACTATTGAACCACAGACAGCGTCAGAAGCGTCTTGCCTGGGCTAAAGAGAAACAGGACTGGACTGCTGGTGAGTGGTCCAAAGTCATGTTCTCTGATGAAAGTAAATTTTGCATTTCCTTTGGAAATCAATGTCCCAGAGTCTGGAGGAAAAGAAGAGAGGCACTTCATCCACGTTGCTTGAAGTCCAGTGTAAAGTTTCCACAGTCAGTGATGGTTTGGGGTGCCATGTCATCTGCTGGTGTTGGTCCATTGTGTTTTCTGAGGTCCAGGGTCAACGCAGCCACATACCAGGAAGTTTTAGAGCACTTCATGCTTCCTGCAGCTGACCAACTTTTTGGAGATGCAGATTTCATTTTCCAACAGGACTTGGCACCTGCACACAGTGCCAAAGCTACCAGTACCTGGTTGAAGGACCATGGTATCCCTGTTCTTAATTGGCCAGCAAACTCTCCTGACCTTAACCCCATAGAAAATCTATGGGGTATTGTGAAGAAGAAGATGCAATACACCAGACCCAACAATTCAGAAGAGCTAAAAGCCACTATTAGAGCAACCTGGGCTATCATAACACCTGAGCAGTGCCACAGACTGATCGACTCCATGCCACGCCGCATTGCTGCAGTAATACAGGCCAAAGGAGGCCCAACTAAATACTGAGTGCTGTACATGCTCATACTTTTCATGTTCATACTTTTCAGTTGGCCAACATTTCTATAAATCCTTTGTTTTTATTGGTCTTCAGTAATATTCTAATTTTCTGATATAATGAATTTGAGATTTTCATTTGTTGTCATTTGTAATCATCAAAATTAAACAAAATAAACATCTGAAATATATGAGTTTGTGTGTAATGTATGAATATAATATACAAGTTTCACTTTTTAAATGGAATTACTGAAATCAATCTACTTTTTCATGATATTCTAATTTTATGACCAGCACCTGTATTCTTTTATTTTTATTCTATTTTCTTGTGTAATTCATGTAAAGCACTTTGAATTAACTTTGTACTAAATTGGGCAATACAACTAAACTTGCCTTGTCACCTTAACTTTAGAAAGCTTGTTGTAGCTTAAAAAATATTCCTTACAATTATTTTATTAGAGTAATTAAGTGTGGGCACCAGGGTGCCAATAGATGTGGAAGTTGGTTTAATTACTTAGTGAATCAAACTTAAAGTGTGGTATTTCTAAATATTCTAGTTTAGGATAAATGCAGAAAAAAATAATTATTTTTATATTTTTTCAGAAAAACTTCTTGCAGTTGTCTGAAAATTGTGACATAAAATTTAATAAAACCAGAACATTATATTATATTCTGAATTTTTTATTAATCTGCCTGCAGCAACAATGCCAGGCTTCACTCCCCAATCTGAACTAGCTACTGGAGATTAAATATTTGTGATTAAAATGAATTAGGAGCTGACATAAATTGTTCTATGCCTACCTGATCCATGCAGAGCTGCAGGGATGGGCTAATGCCAGTCTATGCCAATCAAGAGGTAATGGCAATCAGAGTATCTAACTAGATCATCAGAATGGAGGAAACAAATCTGGAATAACCAAAAACAAACATATATGTAGAACATGCAAACCCATGTAAATGAAAAAAAAAAAACTGTCAATAGCTCTGTTTTTTGTTTTGTATGTGCATGTTTAGCTATCCCAATTACCCATTGACATGCGTGAGTCTTGGTTTTAATTCGCTGGACTGTATGTAGAATAGGTAAAATTCTCTTGCACGCTTATTTTTTGAGAAATTGAGAGATTATGTTTATTTTTTTATCGTATGGAAGTGTTTGTATTTTTCAAAGTGATATATAGTCATAAATATTCCGTAGAATAGTAGCAATGATAACAATCAGTTCACAATTCTTTGTAAGTATAGCTTTTTAGTGTGGAAGTGTGGAAGTTTTTACATGTCTCTGCTGCCACCTAGTGGTGCCAACAGAGACATGCGTCTAACGGAAGTGACGTTTTCAGCAAGCTTTCTCCCGCTCATTTAGAAGTGTTTTAGAATAAGATGTTAGTTATTTAAATGATTGTTTGTTTTTTTTTAATATAGATTACAGTTTCTGGCCTACGTTATTTTACACTTTAATATAAAAACTGCACAATCATAGTCGTACAGTCGATTTCCCGGTAAAAGTTCAGCGGTAGGAGGAGCCAAATAGCGGGAAATAAATAGCAGACGCACCGGTTTCTTCTTCCACTTCCTTCAGATTTCCACCCGAGGTAAGTTCGTTTCTCCTCCTGGATAACATCTCTGCTAAAATATATTTCTTTTAATTCCTATCATGCACACGTTTTCAAAATTAGTCTGCAATTTGCAGCTGATTGATTGGTTCGTTGTAAATTTAATACGGAACCTTTTCCTTTAGCAACAAGCAGCAGCAAGGACCCGATTGTAATCTTCGAGCATCCACCTTTAAAACATTTAAATATAACTTACAAATGGACCTAAACAAGACCAAGAACATAAAGTTAAACTATTTACCCAATTATTTGTGTTAAATTGTATCTCAAAAATAAAATTTGCCCCTGATGACAGTCGCTGCTTGCTCGGCCCGGCTCCTAATCTTAGCATCGTCTCTCAGTGATGAAAACTTTCACAGACCTGTCCTGAATGACTGTGATTGCACTTTATTATTCTGATGTGAGACGTTATTTTAATTAAATTAGTTCCCATTTATTGAACCATACAGCCCTGCATGGTTCATATGGGTTAGTCACGTGTCGCCTGCTAGGTTAGCCTCTAAGCTAACACGTGTCTTCTTGTCCTTCAGCAAAGAAGAAATGAGGCACCTTTTGCAGATAAATGTAAGTTCCACATCTTATAACTGTTGCATATTGCTAATGCAGCCTGTTTTAATATATTTTGCTCAATGCTTCAATGATGTAATAATTGAACTCTCTCACTGAATAATCCAATGAAGAGATTTCACTCATTTTTCTGAGTGGCATTCAGTCTTAAGATGCTGGCTAATTAAAGCATCTTTAATACTAATGATTTTCCTACTGTTTTTAGGTGTGGAGTGTCTGGGATCTTGCAGAAGGTAAATTGATCCTGAATTCTGCTTTGTTCCTGCAGAAATGGATTTGCAATGAATATCAATTTATTAATGCACTTAGTAAGCAATACCAGATACTGATTAATCCTGATCAAGTTCTGCCAAATTGCCTGTTCACACCCTGTAATGCTGAGTAGGATTACACTACCTTTATATACTTGTATTGATCTGTGAATGGAGCGTTTGCGCTGCAGTGATGAGTCCATGAACTCTCTCTTGCTGAATCAGCCCTTGAAGAAACTCCTTTACCAGATTCTGAGCAGCCTGATCGGTTTAATATTTATCCGTAACATTCATTTAAGGTTTGAATATTAACATTTGGCTCTGTCCAACAGATGTGATCCAGGCTTCTTGTGAGGATAAAAGCCTTAACCCCTGCAGGTAAATCAGCTCTTAAGGTGAAATGTGAATTGCTCTGAAGGCCTAATCTGATGAGTTTTCTAACAGACAAGCATATGCCTGATCCTTGTGATGATCCATGATTTATCTGACTAGCCTTTGAAAGACCATGTATGTTTTAGTTTTTGAATGCACAATTTAACCAAGTTGTTTTCTTGCAGCCCTCCCACCCCAAATGAGACAATCAAGGATGGAAACGGATAAATTTGCATGTGAGTAATTCCTTGCCTTAAAAGCTGTTTGCTTTTTGGTGTAAATATGATGATTATCTTTTAATGACAAGCATATGCCTGAAATGTAGTGATGTCACACCTACATCTGATTACCCTCAGATTAGTTTTCTGTGGAAAAAGGTCTCTCAGCTACTCTAACCTTCAGGTTTTCTTTGCAGATGAAAACCAGCTTTTAGAAAGTGCAGTTGGGTAAGTGTCCTTTTTGTCATTAACCCCCCCCATTACCTGTTGGCTCATATTTAGGTTTTCATGCAAATTGCAAGTTGGTGTTTGAAAGGATGACATGGGTTAGCACCCATCAAATTCCTGGACGACTAATGTCGTATGGCAGCTTGTCACCAAAGCCCTGATCGAACATCCCAAAAAATAAAATGATCTGCTGATGGTTTTTCGCCATGGTATGCAATTTGTTTCCCTTTTCTCTTGCAGTGCTTTTTCAGAGACCAGTTTCTGGACCTCTTGGTAAGGACTTTGTTTACACTGTTATTTTAGAATGGCTTAACTTGTGAATACAAATTTTAGAAATATCAAAATTAAGTAAAGTGCAGAACTGATTATGACCAGTAGAGGGTGCTATTTTTATGTTTGGCAAAAATCTCTTTAATGCAGTTTCTATGATGAGAACTACTCAGCTCACTTTGAACCGATGTGAAAATTATACGAATTCCTGAGAAACTGCATTTACTGATCTTTTCATGGCCTCATAAGAAGTTTCTGATCTCATGCATCGGCCAACTATATCTCAATGTGATTTTATGTTATTTTGCCAACAGATGGCTATCCTACTTGAATGACTCCTCTGAGGCTTCCTCTTTGAAGGTAAATGTTCCTCTGAGCTGTTGAACTATTGATTCCGCTGAAAATGATGAGATAATTTGGAATCTCGTTCGTCTGAACTGCTGTTGAGAAATCAAATATCTGACATCGGTATAGTTAAGAATCTGTACAGTTTAACTGTGAAGAAGTCTTACAACGCCTGTTTTTCCCCATTACAGGTCAGGTTCCAGACATGACATTGTTCCCAGCTCCATGGAATCCTTAAACAGGTGAGAACTGGGCAGAAACTACAGCTATAACTCGTCCACTTTCCTTCATGATGACACCCGCACACGTCTTACGCCATGCGCAAACGCCAGACCTGCAAAAGGTGAACCCACTGGTGTTGGCATGGCAACAAGGGGATGATTTTGTTGGGGCTACCAACGGTCTGATTCTAGGGGAAACAATTGGTTTAAATGAGCTTCAAATGAATCGATGTAAAGCAGAAGTTTGATTGTTGGAATTTTCCTTTTTCAGGAAGCAGTGGTGTACTAGTTGGATCAACGCACGTCCGACCCGGCTCTTAGGTGGGTGCTTGGTGAGATGAATGTTTAATGTTCAATCTGTAGATATGATGATTTCCAATGATACCGCCCCAGTCTGATAAAGTAATGACTGATTGGTATTAGCCTCTGATCCCATCTAACTTAACCGTTGCTAGTAGCTCCAGTAGAGCGGCATCACTGAACTGTTCTACTTTCTGCAGGTCAGGGGGATCTTCTCTGGATTCTGCAGGTAAATGAGAATCTTTACTTGAATATTCATCTGGTAGAAATGATGAGTTTCTTGTTGATACCGCCCCAGTCTGAGAACCAATGACTGAATGGTATCCCCCTCTGATCACATGGATTTCACTAGATCGCTCTGTGGTTGTCGCCCAGTTGCTGATGCTTTCCATGTTGCAGGTTATCTTCTGAACGACTGAGACCACCTCTCCGTAACTCGTATTGGGACGGACTACAGGTACTTGTGTTGGGGTGGGGGGGGACCTTCCTCAAGTGCCTGGGATTGTGAAAGTGATGAAGTCCATATCCAGTCTTGGGGTTGTTTCCCAGTCCTAGCTGTTCCTCACTCCTGTTGCCTCAGTAATGGCACTGATAACCCTGCAGCCAACCAGGTGTAAGGTGACCTGCTGAGTTCTGATGGAGTTGAGTTCTGGCTGGGAGTCTGACTGAAAGTGTCGCTCTGATCCATCTGAGACACTTGATTGATTCAATCAGCTGTGTGCATATAGTCCGTTTACATTTTTTATAAAGGCTGCACTCTGTTTCTTGACAGCCAGAAGTCTCCATGATCCTTAAAGGTGAGTCTCTAATCTTCTTTGGATGATGAAATCCCACTTTAACATACTGATGAATTCCAATTACCGCCCCAGTCTGAAGAACAGTGATTGGTTTATTCTGATATGTTTACCAGCTGCTTGATGCTTAAAATATTTGTCTGATATTGCCTAAGATTTTTTTTTTTTCTCCTTCAGCTTATCCGGGGGACTCCTCTCTAGAATTTGCTGCCAGAGTTCTAAATATTCAGTCTTGTATTGAAACCCCTGTATTTTGTACTGTTCATTAATGACCAATGAAAATAAAGTATTTGTGCTCATAATTGTCTCCTCTCATACATGTAGTGAAAACTGAATATTCAGGGCCATGAAGGTGGGCCATAAATTTAAGGACTTTATGGTTTTTGTTTTTTCTTTCCAAGAACCAGCTCCATAGTTGAGGGATTTCATTTCTTTTGTGTACTCTGTCTATACTTAAAAGTATATCACTGTCTTAAATCGTGAATTTGTTAAAAATTTGCTCTTAAAATAGAGTTCTCAAGGGGGAGGTTGAAAATTTAAGCTGGGCAGGGAACTTTTTTGTTAATCCTTTAACCAGCACTTGGTGCATTATGCATGTGGGGTAAACGAGTCAGTTTTACAAATTGATCCTCTGAAGTTTAGCTGTCCTTGTAGACCTGATTACGGTAATCAGCTGAGCCATCCCTCACTGTGCTGACTATAGCCAAGCCCATTCCATTAGTGTTTCTCATTTATAACGGGATGAAAGTTAGCAGTGCAGGAATACGCATAGAGCTGTTCTCATTGTTAAAGGAATAGTACACCCAAAACATGATTAGCCTTCATTTTCTACTCACCCCCATGCTGAACAACACTCTGGAGTACTTTTTTGATATCTCAAATGCATCTGGAGATCTGGGAGGCTTCTTGCTGTCTGCTGACATTCAAATAATGGAGGTCTATGGCGCCCGAGACAGGTCCATAAAAACGTGTCAATATTCCTCCATACTGCTCGTCCAATGTATTCCAAGTGTCCTGAGTGGGTAGCGTCCATAATTTACTCGAAACGAAGTCATTTAGAATGTTTTTAGAGCATAAACAGTAGTGTATAGGATTTCCTAATAGCGCCCCCATGCGCGCTCACGACGCTACGGAAGCCGGCAGACCAAACCAGCGCATTCAGCTCGGCAAAGAACTCATGCTCTTCCTCAACACTGAAGTCCTCAGACATTTTTCTTTCGTTGTTTCTTTCTTTGCACAGGTAAACAGCACATTTCTTCTTCTACGCTTGCATTATCGGCAGAGCAGACGCTGACTGCGCACTTCCTTCCGGTTTGGTCTGCCGGCTTCCGTAGAATCGTGAGCGCGCATGGGGGCGCTATTAGGAAATCCTATACACTACTGTTTAGGCTCTAAAACGTTCTTAATGACTTCGTTTCGAGTAAATTCTGGATGCTACCCACTCAGGACACTTGGAATACATTGGACGAGCAGTATGGAGGAATATTGACACGTTTTTGTGGACTTTTGTGGACCTCTGTCTCGGGCGCCATAGACCTCCATTATTTGAATGTCAGCAGACAGCAAGAAGCCTCCCAGATCTCCAGATGCATTTGAGATATCAAAAAAGTACTCCAGAGTGTTGTTCAGCATGGGGGTGAGTAGAAAATGTAGGCTAATCATGTTTTGGGTGTACTATTCCTTTAAAAGGTGCTCCTGTATGTCAGCAGAGTGCCTCTGGGCTAGATGGAAGCCAGTCGTGCAGTAAAGTGGCAAAATATAAGCAATTTAAGGGATTTCTTGTACGATCACATGGAAACCTTGGTATGTAAGAGGATGGCTTTAAATGCATATGTCAAAAGTTGAGGTTCTTTAAATATAAGGCATCTTGAGCTTGTCATAACTACATTTAGTGTTTTAGAACCCTATTAGCCCATTGTGGTCAGTTGCTTGCCCATATCTGCTGCCATTTCCAGTTCATCTAGCGGTAAATGTTTAAATTTTGAGATGAATTTGAATTTCTTTATACTTGGAGCACTATTTAAGAGAAACTAAACCATGGATCATGGTGACAAATTTATTATAGTCAAACATTTACAACAAACAGGACAAAAGTACAGTTCTAGTATGTCAGACCTATATTACATATCAGTCAGCTGTAAAGATTCTGGCTGCAATATCATCTAATAACCAGTCCACTCCTGCCAACAAGTTCTCTCCTGTTATTGCGCTGCAGCCAATGATGCACCAGTGGTGAGTTTTGATGTTGTCCAGAGCCAATGCCTGCAAGAGACACACCCATGAACCTCAGAAACATTCTAGTTCATCAGGCTTATGTTAAAGATGAAGTTTGACTTACATCTTTTATTGCTTCTTTGGACAACGACCCTGGTAGATCCTGTTTGTTAGCAAACACCAGCAGAGTAGCACCAGATAATCTCTGCAACAAGCAGAAAGAGACAAGTCATTTAAACGGGCTACATTTGAAGGTCAGCAGACAAACTTTATTTCACCTTATTTTAAATGCATTTCTTACTCTAAACCCTCCCCGTTCATTTTTTTTAGTACTGGTTTAAAGCAGAACCACCAGTAAAACGGGTAAAAAAGAACAAAGTGTTAAACCTCCTCCTGTAGCAGTGAGCTCAGTTCCTGTCCACAGTCCTGCAGTCGGAGTCTGTCTGCGCTGTCCACCACCCAAACCAGCCCGTCGGTGCTTTCAAAGTAATTCCTCCAGTAGGACCGCAGAGACTTCTGCCCCCCAACATCCCAAATATTCAGCTTGAACCTGGGGAAACCCACAGAGTACAAGTAAAAATGCAATTAGGATAAAAGCTCAACAGAGACAGGATTTAATCCTGTAAACAGACCATAAGGAAAATTATTCTTGTATAGGATATAATAAAATGAAAGGGGCATTGATTTGAGAAAACAATGCAAACTGGCAATCCTGTAATTCCTTCATTTACTTGATCTAAAATCAGTAATGATCCACAGAATCTTTTTCCTTTGGTCATGGTGCAGATTTTATGACCAGAAGTGAGAGAAGGCAAGTAGAGGTTTTTCAAATCAGATTAAATACTGATATCTTAAATGTGATTTAAATAAAATAGGTTAGTGTGATTTTTACCCTTTGTGCTCCAGGGTTTTGATATTGAAGCCTAGTGTGGGGGAGATGGTGCTCACATCTTCTCCGTTGAACTTCTTCAGGATGGTGGTCTTCCCTGCATTATCCAGGCCTCTGCAGGGAGCAAAGTTAAAGAACCTACGCAGCTTCTGATAAATAACACTTTATATATACAAACATCCCTAAGAAATAGATGTTCCTCATTCTGTATACAAATAAATCATAACACAAAATATCCTAAAATCTACTGTGATAACGAGTACAATGTGTCTTGCCATGTTTGTTATAACCAGAAAGCACATTTCAACCAGCTAGCTTTGAAAATAAAGCTTTGCTTTTTTAATATCAGCTAATTTCACCACTTAAAAAGCAACGTTGTAAACTCAACAACCTGGACAAAGAGAAAATAGAGTTGAAACCAGATATTTAAACATGCAAAACGACCCTGATCAATACATTAAAGCTGTACTTTAAATGCTAATTTTAATAATTCTAGGTGGTATTCCACCATCTTTCTTTTAAGTTACTCTATTTGCAAGTTGTGTTACAAATAAACGGTATTGTTTTGTTTTTGTTGGGGGTTTTTTTTGTCTCGTCATGGCAAAACGTCGTCAACTAAAATAACATCAAAATGCTAGAAACAATAACATGCAATATCTAAAAGAAACGCGGCAGTAGAAAGTAGGATTTAACAGGGGATAATTGTTAAAATTATTGATCTTTACGCCGTTTTCTCTGTGGAAGTTGCCTTGTTTTTAGCTAAGCTAAACCGTTATAGGAAAGGATACAACATTAAAAGCCTCATTTCCCGCTCCTTATGTTTCATCTTCTTCAAAATTGTCAGTAAACCCATCACTGGTCTTAAAGAAATCCTTAAAATCAATATTCTTAAATTAAAAACGCAGCAAACTTTGGTTGATGGTAAAGAATGTTAGCTTCCGGAAAACACGATTCATGCAGGGTGTCAGCCGGAAGCTCCGCCCCTTGCGCACTCCGATTGGTTCAGCTTCTTCTTCTTTTCTTTTCTTTTCTTTGCGGATCGCAAGCAACTTTAAGGTGCATACCGCCACCTACTGTACATGCGGGTGTAGCGACATTACTTTCCATCAAATTCTATTTTTTTAAGCTTTTTATTTTCAATAACATTTTTATATCATCACATACACATGTCCACCCTTGTCACATCCCACAATTCACATCTTAATATCTGATTTTTATAGATCATTTTAGACATCCAGGGGCTATTGATGGAAACAATAACAAAAAGAACCCCCAAAAACGACAAATAAAGATACATTTCCTTCAGATAGACATTAGCCCCATTAAGAGAAACCCATATTCATTAACAACATTCATGGATTTATAAGTCACAATGATTTCAGTGAAACGTACAACAATGGGCACACTGGGAAAACAGATTAAAGTAATAAAAGTAATAAAAAAATCAAATTCTATTTTTTTATTTTGTATTCTGTAGATAAATAAATAATGCTTTCCTTAATCTATGAATATCCTTTATATTTCCTTAATTTCCCAATATTCATTTAAGACTCCATTCTTTGCCTGTCCTACCAATCATCCTTCTCATTTTCTCCCTTTCATGTTCATACGTTTTACAGTTCATCTGTACATGTTCTACATTTTCTTTTTCTCCACATCCTTCACATTTATCATTGTTTTTCCTCCCTATTAAATATAAATTGTCATTTAAATAGGTATGACCTACTCTTAGTCTGATCATTATTACTTCTTCCCTTCAGTTTCTCTCATTAGTGATTCTATTTAATACAGATTTTTGTACCTTATATAATTCTCTTCCTTTCTTATCTTTGTTCCACCTCTTCTGCAATTTTTCCATTTCTTTACGCTTAATAATTGATTTAATATCCCCTTTCCCAACAGGATTTATAATTGTTATTGTTTCCTCTAAAGCCCTTTTTGCTAATATATCTGCTTTTTTATTCCCTTTTACACCTTCATGTGCTGGAACCCAACATAACCAAATATAAATGCAGCCCTTATCGATGGGTTCATCTTCTTCTTCTTTAGTTTTTAACGGCAGCTTGCATCCATTATTATTGCACTACTGCATCTTCTTCCCCTCAATACTATTTAGCTTTTTAACCACATTCCCAAATTTCAATTCCCCATTAAAATCTAATTCTGTTTTTTTTATGTTGGTTGATTTACATATTTTCT